CTACCACCCTCGCCAGTACCAGTGTCAGCCGCTAGGTGCTCCCACCCTAGCCAGTACTAGTGTCAGTCACTAGGTGCTACCACCCTCGCCAGTATCACAGTGTCAGTCACTAGGTGCTACCACTCTCGCCAGTATCACAGTGTCAGCCACTAGGTGCTACCACCCTCGCCAGTACCACAGTGTCAGCCACTAGGTGCTACCACCCTCGCCAGTGCCAGTGTCAGCCACTAGGTGCTACCACCCTCGCCAGTACCAGTGTCAGCCACTAGATGCTACCACCCTCGCCAGTACCAGTGTCAGCCACTAGGTGCTACCACCCTCGCCAGTATCACAGTGTCAGCCACTAGGTGCTACCACCCTCGCCAGTATCACAGTGTCAGCCACTAGGTGCTACCACCCTCGCCAGTATCACAGTGTCAGCCACTAGGTGCTACCACCCTCGCCAGTATCACAGTGTCAGCCACTAGGTGCTACCACCCTCGCCAGTACCAGTGTCAGCCACTAGATGCTACCACCCTCGCCAGTACCAGTGTCAGCCACTAGATGCTACCACCCTCGCCAGTACCAGTGTCAGCCACTAGGTGCTACCACCCTCGCCAGTATCACAGTGTCAGCCACTAGGTGCTACCACCCTCGCCAGTATCACAGTGTCAGTCACTAGGTGCTACCACCCTCGCCAGTATCACAGTGTCAGCCACTAGGTGCTACCACCCTCGCCAGTATCACAGTGTCAGCCACTAGATGCTACCACCCTCGCCAGTACCAGTGTCAGCCACTAGGTGCTACCACCCTCGCCAGTACCAGTGTCAGCCACTAGGTGCTACCAACCTCGCCAGTATCACAGTGTCAGCCACTAGGTGCTACCACCCTCGCCAGTACCAGTGTCAGCCACTAGATGCTACCACCCTCGCCAGTACCAGTGTCAGCCACTAGGTGCTACCACCCTCGCCAGTACCAGTGTCAGCCACTAGGTGCTACCACCCTCGCCAGTATCACAGTGTCAGCCACTAGGTGCTACCACCCTCGCCAGTATCACAGTGTCAGTCACTAGGTGCTACCACCCTCGCCAGTATCACAGTGTCAGCCACTAGGTGCTACCACCCTCGCCAGTACCAGTGTCAGCCACTAGGTGCTACCACCTTCGCCAGTACCAGTGTCAGCCACTAGTGCTACCACCCTCGCCAGTATCACAGTGTCAGCCACTAGGTGCTACCACCCTCGCCAGTATCACAGTGTCAGCCACTAGGTGCTACCACCCTCGCCAGTATCACAGTGTCAGCCACTAGGTGCTACCACCCTCGCCAGTATCACAGTGTCAGCCACTAGGTGCTACCACCCTCGCCAGTATCACAGTGTCAGCCACTAGGTGCTACCACCCTCGCCAGTATCACAGTGTCAGCCACTAGGTGCTACCACCCTCGCCAGTATCACAGTGTCAGTCACTAGGTGCTACCACCCTCGCCAGTATCACAGTGTCAGCCACTAGGTGCTACCACCCTCGCCAGTATCACAGTGTCAGCCACTAGATGCTACCACCCTCGCCAATACCAGTGTCAGCCACTAGGTGCTACCACCCTCGCCAGTACCAGTGTCAGCCACTAGGTGCTACCAACCTCGCCAGTATCACAGTGTCAGCCACTAGGTGCTACCACCCTCGCCAGTATCACAGTGTCAGCCACTAGGTGCTACCACCCTCGCCAGTATCACAGTGTCAGCCACTAGGTGCTACCACCCTCGCCAGTACCAGTGTCAGCCACTAGATGCTACCACCCTCGCCAGTACCAGTGTCAGCCACTAGGTGCTACCACCCTCGCCAGTACCAGTGTCAGCCACTAGGTGCTACCACCCTCGCCAGTATCACAGTGTCAGCCACTAGGTGCTACCACCCTCGCCAGTATCACAGTGTCAGTCACTAGGTGCTACCACCCTCGCCAGTATCACAGTGTCAGCCACTAGGTGCTACCACCCTCGCCAGTATCACAGTGTCAGCCACTAGATGCTACCACCCTCGCCAATACCAGTGTCAGCCACTAGGTGCTACCACCCTCGCCAGTACCAGTGTCAGCCACTAGGTGCTACCAACCTCGCCAGTATCACAGTGTCAGCCACTAGGTGCTACCACCCTCGCCAGTATCACAGTGTCAGCCACTAGGTGCTACCACCCTCCCCAGTATCACAGTGTCAGCCACTAGGTGCTACCACCCTCGCCAGTACCAGTGTCAGCCACTAGATGCTACCACCCTCGCCAGTACCAGTGTCAGCCACTAGGTGCTACCACCCTCGCCAGTACCAGTGTCAGCCACTAGGTGCTACCACCCTCGCCAGTATCACAGTGTCAGCCACTAGGTGCTACCACCCTCGCCAGTATCACAGTGTCAGCCACTAGGTGCTACCACCCTCGCCAGTACCAGTGTCAGCCACTAGATGCTACCACCCTCGCCAGTACCAGTGTCAGCCACTAGGTGCTACCACCCTCGCCAGTACCAGTGTCAGCCACTAGGTGCTACACCCTCGCCAGTATCACAGTGTCAGCCACTAGGTGCTACCACCCTCGCCAGTATCACAGTGTCAGTCACTAGGTGCTACCACCCTCGCCAGTATCACAGTGTCAGCCACTAGGTGCTACCACCCTCGCCAGTACCAGTGTCAGCCACTAGGTGCTACCACCTTCGCCAGTACCAGTGTCAGCCACTAGGTGCTACCACCCTCGCCAGTATCACAGTGTCAGCCACTAGGTGCTACCACCCTCGCCAGTATCACAGTGTCAGCCACTAGGTGCTACCACCCTCGCCAGTATCACAGTGTCAGCCACTAGGTGCTACCACCCTCGCCAGTATCACAGTGTCAGCCACTAGGTGCTACCACCCTCGCCAGTATCACAGTGTCAGCCACTAGGTGCTACCACCCTCGCCAGTATCACAGTGTCAGCCACTAGGTGCTACCACCCTCGCCAGTATCACAGTGTCAGTCACTAGGTGCTACCACCCTCGCCAGTATCACAGTGTCAGCCACTAGGTGCTACCACCCTCGCCAGTATCACAGTGTCAGCCACTAGATGCTACCACCCTCGCCAATACCAGTGTCAGCCACTAGGTGCTACCACCCTCGCCAGTACCAGTGTCAGCCACTAGGTGCTACCAACCTCGCCAGTATCACAGTGTCAGCCACTAGGTGCTACCACCCTCGCCAGTATCACAGTGTCAGCCACTAGGTGCTACCACCCTCGCCAGTATCACAGTGTCAGCCACTAGGTGCTACCACCCTCGCCAGTACCAGTGTCAGCCACTAGATGCTACCACCCTCGCCAGTACCAGTGTCAGCCACTAGGTGCTACCACCCTCGCCAGTATCACAGTGTCAGCCACTAGGTGCTACCACCCTCGCCAGTATCACAGTGTCAGTCACTAGGTGCTACCACCCTCGCCAGTATCACAGTGTCAGCCACTAGGTGCTACCACCCTCGCCAGTACCAGTGTGAGCCACTAGGTGCTACCACCTTCGCCAGTACCAGTGTCAGCCACTAGGTGCTACCACCCTCGCCAGTATCACAGTGTCAGCCACTAGGTGCTACCACCCTCGCCAGTATCACAGTGTCAGCCACTAGGTGCTACCACCCTCGCCAGTATCACAGTGTCAGCCACTAGGTGCTACCACCCTCGCCAGTACCACAGTGTCAGCCACTAGGTGCTACCACCCTCGCCAGTGCCAGTGTCAGCCACTAGGTGCTACCACCCTCGCCAGTACCAGTGTCAGCCACTAGATGCTACCACCCTCGCCAGTACCAGTGTCAGCCACTAGGTGCTACCACCCTCGCCAGTATCACAGTGTCAGCCACTAGGTGCTACCACCCTCGCCAGTATCACAGTGTCAGCCACTAGGTGCTACCACCCTCGCCAGTATCACAGTGTCAGCCACTAGGTGCTACCACCCTCGCCAGTATCACAGTGTCAGCCACTAGGTGCTACCACCCTCGCCAGTATCACAGTGTCAGCCACTAGGTGCTACCACCCTCGCCAGTATCACAGTGTCAGCCACTAGGTGCTACCACCCTCGCCAGTATCACAGTGTCAGCCACTAGGTGCTACCACCCTCGCCAGTATCACAGTGTCAGCCACTAGGTGCTACCACCCTCGCCAGTACCAGTGTCAGCCACTAGGTGCTACCACCCTCGCCAGTATCACAGTGTCAGCCACTAGGTGCTACCACCCTCGCCAGTATCACAGTGTCAGCCACTAGGTGCTACCACCCTCGCCAGTATCACAGTGTCAGCCACTAGGTGCTACCACCCTCGCCAGTATCACAGTGTCAGCCACTAGGTGCTACCACCCTCGCCAGTATCACAGTGTCAGCCACTAGGTGCTACCACCCTCGCCAGTATCACAGTGTCAGCCACTAGGTGCTACCACCCTCGCCAGTACCAGTGTCAGCCACTAGGTGCTACCACCCTCGCCAGTATCACAGTGTCAGCCACTAGGTGCTACCACCCTCGCCAGTACCAGTGTCAGCCACTAGGTGCTACCACCCTCGCCAGTACCAGTGTCAGCCACTAGGTGCTACCACCCTCGCCAGTATCACAGTGTCAGCCACTAGGTGCTACCACCCTCGCCAGTATCACAGTGTCAGCCACTATGTGCTACCACCCTCGCCAGTATCACAGTGTCAGCCACTAGGTGCTACCACCCTCGCCAGTATCACAGTGTCAGCCACTAGGTGCTACCACCCTCGCCAGTACCAGTGTCAGCCACTAGGTGCTACCACCCTCGCCAGTACCAGTGTCAGCCACTAGGTGCTACCACCCTCGCCAGTATCACAGTGTCAGCCACTAGGTGCTACCACCCTCGCCAGTACCAGTGTCAGCCACTAGGTGCTACCACCCTCGCCAGTATCACATGTCAGCCACTAGGTGCTACCACCCTCGCCAGTACCAGTGTCAGCCACTAGGTGCTACCACCCTCGCCAGTATCACAGTGTCAGCCACTAGGTGCTACCACCCTCGCCAGTACCAGTGTCAGCCACTAGGTGCTACCACCCTCGCCAGTATCACAGTGTCAGCCACTAGGTGCTACCACCCTCGCCAGTACCAGTGTCAGCCACTAGGTGCTACCACCCTCGCCAGTATCACAGTGTCAGCCACGTCAGCTGGTCATGGCGGCTTCTCTGAGGGATAAACAGATCGGTAATATAACTTGTTTCAGTCCTCACATTAACATATTCGCTCAGAAACATTACTTAAGAGTTTAATATTATAACAGAGGCGGTGATATAGATAAATTAAGACATGATATATACCCAGGAGGGAGATAACACTTCTTTTAACACTTCAGTATTTTCAAGAATATTTTTCCTTCGTATATCCAGCGGTGGAATTTTTATTAACATATTGTCATATAAGTTTTATAATTAATGTGTAAAATTGTGATTTGGAGAGTGACATATTTAGGTTATAAATTTTTAATATTCATGTATTAATAGATTTTGCAAATTTGGAGTTGTCCATATGATGGTGTTTGCTGTATATATTACTGTTAAAATGTTTGATTTAATTGTTATCTTGATGTCTTGCAGTAATGTAACTTTTTTCTTAAGAGGGAGAAAGAAATAAAGAATTAATCATTAGTGAGTAATTTTGAAATTTAATTTGCATGTGTTATTAAATTAGTTCTTTATTTAAGAATTATGTTTAAATCTTAAGTAGTTTTTCAGTATTAGAATTAATTTGCCAGAAATGCATTGTATATTATTGGCATTCTTATGTGCTTAAAAATATTTTCTTACATATACACTGCATTATCTTATCCCACATAAAGAAATAAAAATTTATATTTTGTATTCTTGTATTTTATAAGCAAGCCACATACATCGGTATTTCTGTGTTATAATTTGCATTTTGTATTAAACTGTTGTATATCATTAATGTAAGTATTCAAGGTGGCATTGTATGATGGCTTAACCTAAGATATCCCTAAAACTTCTCAAAAATATTTTAAATGTAAATTGTTTACAGTGGCATTATTATTTTACAGTTCTTTTAAACATTATTTAAAGTAAACAAACCCATTAACACTGGTTTATGTTATCTTTAACCCTGACATATTAATGCCAGATTTTTTTTTTTTTTTAGATTTTGCCACAGAAGTGGCTAGTTTATTGTGCACCCCATATCCATCCTGGGGACGGTGGCACAACAGCATATGGATACACAAAAAGCCCAGGAACTAGGCCCCAAAAGGGTTACCAGGGGTACATATGGGTTTTTATTTATCTACATATCTACAGTTCACTTATCTGTTACAAGCAAATTTAGGAAATTTGCTTAGTATATCTGGTATCTTATTTTCATTAATAGATCTATAGATCTATAGGCTTCTAACCAGAGGCAAACTAAGAAGACTATAATACATGATTTGGATTATTAATCAAGAAGGTTAATTTCCCGGGATAAGCTAAAGAAAAGCACCGTGACTTGTGTTCATTAGGGTCCTTGGGTCCTTCTTCCTTAGACTACAACCCAGAAGTCAACTAACACCTGGGAATCTATTTACCGGGAATGAAGGCAAAAAGTGTAGGACACTTGCCCGAAATACTCTTCATGTTAGTGGTTTTCTTTTGTGCCTAACAATATTTTATTACACATAAACTATGTTACCTGTATACTGCAGAAAAGAAATAAATTTATTATTATTATTATGTCACTAGCACGTTAAGAGACCATACAATAAGTGTCAGGGGCCCGAGACTGTTCAGCTGCCTCCCAGCATACATAAGGGGTATTACCAACAAACCCCTGGCAGTCTTCAAGCTGGCACTGGACAAGCACCTAAAGTCGGTTCCTGACCAGCCGGGCTGTGGCTCGTATGTTGGTTTGCGTGCAGCCAGCAGTAACAGCCTGATTGATCAGGCTCTGATCCACCAGGAGGCATGGTCACGGACTGGGCCGCAGGGGCGTTGACCCCCGGAACTCTCTCCAGGTAAACTCCAGGTATGTGTGTGTGCACTCTAAAGGAGGGGTGTTAATGTTGCAGTTTAAAAACTGTAGTGTAAAGCACCCTTCTGGCAAGACAGTGATGGAGTGAATGATGGTGAAAGTTTTTCTTTTTCAGGCCACCCTGCCTTGGTGGGAATTGGCCAGTGTGTTAATAATAATATTATGTTTTGCTTATCCAGGATTGAACCCAGATCTTTTTTATTTTGAGCTAAATGTTCTACTTCATAGCTGTTTAGTTAGTTTAATATATTTATTATGCACCCCCATACCCATCCTATGGGTGGTAGTTAAAATTACAGAGGTACATAATGGGTCCAGGGACTGGACCCCAAAGTTTTGCTACCTGCTAAGTACAATATACAAAATGTACAATGATAAAGTTATAAAGCAACACACTACTGGTGTACAGTAGACGTAAGATATGCATAGCTCATTGCTACGGGTATAGAATGTAGTGTTATCAGAGGTTAAGTTATCACTAAATGTCACTTTGTCTGAATGACTGTATTTATTTGATTGAAAATAAAAATATTGCTAATATATATTGTAGTTCTTCTGTACGTAGTTTATTTAAATAAAAAATTAAACTAATCGGTGATGCTCTAATTCCCAGTTAAATTTATACAGTACAGCCTTTTCTCACTTAGTGATGTACTCGTTTACCGACGACTCAGACTTATAACGGGCTCTCTGATCAGTATACATACCTCATTAATGCGTATTAGACCTGATTTCCTCTATTCTGTTTATTATAATACATATACAGTACACTACTGTATAAACATTTAAAAATACGTATACCAGATATGTTATAAGTGGTGCAAAGGTGACATTAAAACAATATCAAAGATTGTTGACACAAACGCACTACCATTATAGTATGCTCCTCACTTAGTGACAAATTCGTTTACTGATGTGGTCTTAGGAATGAAATTCCATCATTGAATGAGGAGAGGCTGTATTTAAACTGCATCCACAGAATAAGATGCAGTCCTTCTTCATAGAACATACATACTGTACTTGAGATTCCTGAAGCAAGTAGTATTTTGGAATCATAGGAAAAGAAATTGGGTAATATTATAATTAATTGTGTTATATTTTTAAAGCATCACTGCGACGCATAGTAAATTTGAACACCGGTGTAGGAAACACCAATGTGGGAAGTGAAACAACATTCGCTGTGTTGATCTACGATAAACATGGGCAAGATATCATCTCTCCACTCCTCTCAGTCAAAGATCTACGTGAAATGGGCATCACACTGCACATGTAAGGAATTACTTAGCCACATCTTGCTGATATTCTTTGTTTTTTGTAAAGTAGTATATATGCATTAAAAGTAACTCCTTCTCCTGTATAAATTACTAAGCGTAAAAAGACGAAAAGCTTTTGTTTCTTCTTTTTCGGGTCGTCCTTCCTTGGTGAGGGAAGGCCGGTGTGTTAAAAAGGAATATAATATATAATGAGAATTCTTCAGCTGTATGTTATAGGTAAAAATTTATGAATATCACGTTTATGTTAAGATTTTCTTTGAATTTTTAACCCTGGAGGGTTAGCCACCCAGGATAACCCAAGAAAGGCAATGCATCATCAAGGAACTGTCTGTCTTATTTCCATTGGGGTCCTCAGTGTTGTCCCCAGGATGCGACACACCAGTTGACTAACACGAAGGTATCTACTTGCTAGGCGAACAGGACAACAGGTGTAAGGAAATGCATCGAAGTGTTTCCACCCCGCCGGGAATCAAACCTGGGCCCTCAGCGTGTGAAGCGAAACTTAGCCTTTTAGAATTTTGCTATGATGGTTTATGTTGATTTGTAGAGAAAAATAATTTTTTTTAGGTATAATACATTATACTGTATTGTATATTGTAACTAATACCGTTATGTACTAATTGTATTATTCAGGTTACTCCATAGTGAACGAGGTGAAGTTCCTGATGTACCTGCCATATACTTTTGTCAGCCAACAGAAGAAAATTTGATAAGAATAGGGCAGGATTTTAATGATGGCCTCTACTCTGCGTACTATCTCAATTTCATCTCTCCAATCAGTCGACAAAAAATGGAGGATCTAGCCTTAGCTGCATTACAAGCTGGATGCCAAGGAAGTATTAAGAAAGTATGTATGTACGTATATACGTACGTGTGTGTGCGTGCGTGTATGCGTGTGTGTGTGTGTGTGTGTACTCACCTAGTTGAGGTTGTACTCACCTAGTTGAGGTTGCGGGGGTCGAGTCCGAGCTCCTGGCCCTGCCTCTTCACTGATCGCTACTAGGTCACTCTCCCTGAGCCGTGAGCTTTATCATACCTCTGCTTAAAGCTATGTATGGATCCTGCCTCCACTACATCGCTTCTCAAACTATTCCACTTACTGACTACTCTGTGGCTGAAGAAATACTTCCTAACATCCCTGTGATTCATCTGTGTCTTCAGCTTCCAACTGTGTCCCCTTGTTACTGTGTCCAATCTCTGGAACATCCTGTCTTTGTCCACCTTGTCAATTCCTCTCAGTATTTTGTATGTCATTATCATGTCCCCCCTATCTCTCCTGTCCTCCAGTGTCGTCAGGTTGATTTCCCTTAACCTCTCCTCGTAGGACATACCTCTTAGCTCTGGGACTAGTCTTGTTGCAAACCTTTGCACTTTCTCTAGTTTCTTCACGTGCTTGGCTAGGTGTGGGTTCCAAACTGGTGCCGCATACTCCAATATGGGCCTAACGTACACGGTGTACAGGGTCCTGAATGATTCCTTATTAAGATGTCGGAATGCTGTTCTGAGGTTTGCTAGGCGCCCATATGCTGCAGCAGTTATTTGGTTGATGTGCGCTTCAGGAGATGTGCCTGGTGTTATACTCACCCCAAGATCTTTTTCCTTGATTGAGGTTTGTAGTCTCTGACCCCCTAGACTGTACTCCGTCTGCGGCCTTCTTTGCCCTTCCCCAATCTTCATGACTTTGCACTTGGTGGGATTGAACTCCAGGAGCCAATTGCTGGACCAGGTCTGCAGCCTGTCCAGATCCCTTTGTAGTTCTGCCTGGTCTTCGATCGAGTGAATTCTTCTCATCAACTTCACATCATCTGCAAACAGGGACACCTCAGAGTCTATTCCTTCCGTCATGTCGTTCACAAATACCAGAAACAGCACTGGTCCTAGGACTGACCCCTGCGGGACCCCCGCTGGTCACAGGTGCCCACTCTGACACCTCGCCACGTACCATGACTCGCTGCTGTCTTCCTGACAAGTATTCCCTGATCCATTGTAGTGCCTTCCCTGTTATCCCTGCTTGGTCCTCCAGTTTTTGCACCAATCTCTTGTGTGGAACTGTGTCAAACGCCTTCTTGCAGTCCAAGAAAATGCAATCCACCCACCCCTCTCTCTCTTGTCTTACTGCTGTCACCATGTCATAGAACTCCAGTAGGTTTGTGACACAGGATTTCCCGTCCCTGAAACCATGTTGGCTGCTGTTGATGAGATCATTCCTTTCTAGGTGTTCCACCACTCTTCTCCTGATAATCTTCTCCATGATTTTGCATACTATACATGTCAGTGACACTGGTCTGTAGTTTTAATGCTTCATGTCTGTCTCCTTTTTTAAAGATTGGGACTACATTTGCTGTCTTCCATGCCTCAGGCAATCTCCCTGTTTCGATAGATGTATTGAATATTGTTGTTAGGGGTACACATAGTGCCTCTGCTCCCTCTCTCAATACCCATGGGGAGATGTTATCTGGCCCCATTGCCTTTGAGGTATCTAGCTCACTCAGAAGCCTCTTCACTTCTTCCTCGGTTGTGTGCACTGTGCCCAGCACTTGGTGGTGTGCCCCACCTCTCCGTCTTTCTGGAGTCCCTTCTGTCTCCTCTGTGAACACTTCTTTGAATCTCTTGTTGAGTTCTTCACATACGTCACGGTCATTTCTTGTTGTTTCTCCTCCTTCCTTCCTTAGCCTGATTACCTGGTCCTTGACTGTTGTTTTCCTCCTGATGTGGCTGTACAACAGTTTCGGGTCAGATTTGGCTTTCGCTGCTATGTCATTTTCATATTGTCTTTGGGCCTGTGCATGTGCGCGCGCGTCTGCATGCGTGCGTGCACATATGTGCATGTACTCACCTAGTTGTGGTTGCAGGGGTTGAGTCACAGCTCCTGACCCTGTCTCTTCACTGGTTGCTACTAGGTAACTCTTCCTGCTCATGTGTGTGTATGTGTGTGTAATTAAATTATTTATTTAGTTATTAAATTACACCTTCCATTTAAACTTGCCTATGATAATAAGCAGGTTTAGATGACAAGAAATGTCAAAAATATTTTGACTTTGTACAGTAAAATAATTTTTCCAATTTGGAAATTAGATAGTGTGAGGGTCAAGGAATTGGTCTCTTATATCACTTCTGAATTAATATTTTTCTTTATATTGTCAAAAAATTTAAAAGATTGAAATATTAATTGCACCCGTAAAGCAAAACTTATTTTCATTGTATTGTATGACAAGTAAATTATTTCTCCCAATAGGTATACGACCAGTATGTGAATTTTATAAGCTTGGAGGATGATATGTTTACACTAAAGCATCAGAAATCTGATACACTGTCTTACTATGGTAAGTTAATAAGTAAAAAAGTACACACATGCAAGTATGCTTGTGTATTAATTTATATAGTGGCACCCATACTGTACATGTATGTGCATACAGTAGTGTGTATGATAGAATAATTATTGAAAGAATTAAGGGTAAGACAAAACAGGATTGCAGAGGAACGAGAAGGATCCAGGAAGGGTAGGGGATGTGTACACCAAGTGTTCATATTGAAGCACATAAGTGAACAGTATTTAGATAAAGGTGTGGAGCTTTTTGTTGCATGTATAGAATTAGAGTGTGTGATAAGATGTTATCAATATATGGAATAGGTAACAGGTTACTAAAAGCAGTAGAGATTTTATGCTAATAGACTCAGTTTAGGGTATGTAGAAATGGGGTGGGGGTATTATTTTTCCATTAAAGGTGGGGTCTTAGATAGGGATGAGTGATGTCACCATGGTTGTTCAGTGTATTTATAGATGAGGTTGCAAAAGAAGTTAATGGGAGTTGTAATAATTCCTTTTTTGCTGATAAGGTTATTTTTTTTAGGGAGATTTTGAAGAGAAGTTGCAAAGGTTGGTGGAGGAATTTAGGAGGTTGTGTAAAAGAAGGAAATTGAAAGTGAACATACGAAAGAGATTGGAGGGAGGGAGTATGCAGGAAATAAATGTTGGCAGATGGGCTTAGGAAGAAATGATCCACAGAATAAAGGAGGTAATCCATAGAATAAAGTGTGGTTAAAGATGGGAGGTGAGTTTGAGGCATCTCTGGAGGCAAAAAGTGGACTGTTACATGGGTGTGAAGCATGGATTTATGTCATGTTTGAGGACAATGTGTTGTGTGAACATTATGCAGAGAATTACGAGTGTGAATATTAAAAGAAGGTACAGGGTTACCAAAAATGTAATTCAGAGGGCTGAGGAGGGGTTGTTGAGGTGGTTTGGGCACTTAAAAAGATGTAGCAAAACAGGATGACTAGTAGAGTGTATGTATCAATAGTGGAGGGAAAGAGAGGTAGGGGTCATCTTGGAAAGGGTTGAAGGGATGGGGTAAAGATGGCTTTAAGTACTAGGGGATTGAACTTCCAACAATCTTGTGTAAGCTTGTTAAATCAGAATGTGTAGAGATGGGTTTTTTTTTTTTGTGACCTAACGTGCTGTTCGGTAACAAGAAAAGGTGAACAAGGTAATTATGAACAAATTCAGGGACACCAGTTAGCCAGATTTAAGTCCTGGAGGTGGGAAGTACAGTGCCTGTACTCTGAAGGAGGGGTGAGGATGTTGCAGTAATGTTGGTGCATTTCTGCAAGACAACACTTCTTTCTCTCTCTCTCTTTCTCCCTCCTTCCCTCCCTTTCTCTTTCTCCCTTTCTCTCTTTCTGTGCCTCAGTGGGAGATGACTGGTGTGTAAATATAATAAATGTAAAGATAATTCTTTCTTATTTATTTTAAAGGATGTTTAATTACATTGAATAATGAAGTTATAAATGTTACATTTCAGCTATAAATCGTGGTGATGTAAAGGATTCAGACATTGACCTCCTCATGGATTCAATTGTTGACAGCCTTTTTTCTGTTTTTGTCAACCTAGGTGAGAGCAAGGCATTTACTTGTATTACTGTTAATTATAGTAAAAATTAATTAGTAATTCTTTTAAATGTCACAAATTTTGTATCCTAAATATATTGATGTACTCTATATATTACTCTAAGACTATGCAAGATCATAATTTCAACAAATCAGAGTTTACTTATAAATTGGGTGTTACAGGTCAGGTTCCTATCATCCGTTGTCAGAGGGGCAATGCAGCAGAGAGTGTTGGGGAGCGACTAGACAAGAAACTTCGAGAGAACCTGCGTGATACTCGTAATTCTTTCTTCACTGGACTAAGCACAGATTCATTTGCTGCTGGTCAGCTAAGGCAAGATATGATAATGTATATTGTACATGCAATTTTTAGATTGCCTTGGTGAAAATTATACTGGTTACTATACTATATGCAATTTATGTGGGTTAGATTAAAATTATATCTTTCAGATGAGTAAGTAAATAGACTTGAGTTTTGATAATTCTTAAGATATCTGAGGAAATTTCTTTCTTTTATTTTTTATTTTACTTTATAGCTTCCAAAGACCTCTGTTAGTAATTGTTGACCGCAACGTCGACTTAGCCACTCCACTGCACCACACATGGACCTATCAAGCTCTTGCTCATGATGTGTTGAACTTGAGCCTCAACCGTGTAACTGTCACAGAACAAGATGCAGCTCACCCAACCAACAGGACGAAGACAAAAGAATATGATCTCAGTAATTTAGATAGCTTCTGGAGGGCTCATAAGGGTAATATATTAAATATTTGGTAAAAAGATTACTGTATAAGAGTTTTGTGGTATAAAGAGAAAGAAGATGGGAGAGAGTAAGAATTATTAGGGAGTAAGTCTAAGGAGGGGTTTGGAATATTTGCTATTTGGAGGGCATTTGTCCAGAGGGCTGAGGAAGGGTTGTTGAGGTGGTTCGGACATGTAGAGAGAATGGAGCGAAACAGAATGACTTCAAGAGTGTATCAGTCTGTGGTGGAAGGAAGGCGGGGTAGGGGTCGGCCTAGGAAAGGTTGGAGGGAGGGGGTAAAGGAGGTTTTGTGTGCGATTGGCTTGGACTTTCAGCAGGCATGCGTGAGCGTGTTTGATAGGAATGAATGGAGACAAATGGTTTTTAATACTTGACGTGCTGTTGGAGTGCGAGCAAAGTAACATTTATGAAGGGATTCAGGGAAACCGGGCACTGTACTTCCCATCTCCAGACTTGAGTCCTGGAGATGGGAAGTACAGTGCCTGCACTCTGAAGGAGGGGTGTTAATGTTGCAGTTTAAAAACTCTAGTGCAAAGCACCCTTCTGGCAAGACAGTAATGGAGTGAATGATGGTGAAAGTTTTTCTTTTTCGGGCCACCCTGCCTTGGGAATCGGCCAGTGTACTAATAAATAATAAAATAATTGTTTTTTGAATGTACAGTTCAGGTATAATAAAATGATAATATAGAATAGCCAGTAGGCTATTAAGAGTTGTAAAATGTTTTTATGAGGGTAAGGTACAGGTTAAGGTATGTAAGAAAAAAAGAGGAATATTTTCAGGAAATGTGGGGCGGTCATCTATCTCTGTAGATGGGGTTGTTAAAGTTAAAGAAATGAAAGTTGGTGTGTTAGAAAGAGGTGCTGGCTTAAAAGGTCATAAATCTGGCAAGATAGTTATTGAATGAATGATGGTGAAAGTGTTTTCCTCAGAAACATTACATTGAATTATTTTTCTACAGGCAGTGCATTCCCTGATGTTGCAGCAGCTGTAGAGACAGAACTTGAGGAATACAAAAAGGCTGAGACTCACATAAAAGGCTTGAAATCTAACCTACCAGATGAAGATGCCATTGACTTGTTGAGTGACAACACAGCAAAATTAACTTCAGCAATAACTTCCTTACCAGAATTGATAAAAAAGAAAGCTGATATTGACAAGCATATGAGCATTGCCATGGGTTTGTTGAGTTGAGGTTTCTTTTTATATTGGGTCACCTGCTGTGTAGTGCCAAATACCTGAATGGCTCTTACTGCTTTAGCACTTTCTATGAATAAAATAAGTATTTTAGGTTAGGTAATAGTGTTGTAGGTGGCTGAATATTAGATTCATAATATAATACAGTATAACTCTAAGAGTTGGGACTTTTTTTAAATATTTGTGGTGGAAAAAGGTTGACAGTAGACTAGACAAGAATCCTGAATAAAAGGGCACACTCATTTTTATTTTTGTAACATGCCGGCCGTCTCCCACTGAGGCAGGGAAACCCAAAAAAAAATGAAACACTTTCACCATCATTCATGCATAATCACTGTCTTTGCAGAGGTACCAAGATATGACAGTTGAGATGTCACTCCAAACAGCCAATATCCTAAGCCCTTCCTTTAAAGTGCAGGCATTGTACTTCCCACTTCCATGACTCAACTCTGGCTAACCAGTTTCCCTGAATCCCTTCGCAAAATATTACCCTGCTCACACTCAACTGCTTGTCAGGTCCCAAAACCCATTCATCTCCATTCATTCCTATGTAACACACGCATTCCTGCTGTATGTCCAAGCCCCTTGCACACAAAACCACTTTCACCCCCTCCTCAGTTTTGTATGGTCATGAAAATGAATGTATCCTGAATATGCAGTAAATTTGTGGCAGATAAGGATAATTATGAATTTTATAAAAATATATGACCATCATGGATTTAGTGCTTAGTTATGATTATAATAATAGTATAAAAATATATATAGATGAAGGCAGGAGAATAGAGTGAAGACTTTGAGTTTTATGCTTCAGAGGTACTTAGTGAAGGGCTCTTTAAGGAATTGTAGTTGCCTTCTCCTTCTCTGGATCAGCCTTATTACCATCTATACCCCTTTATTCCCAAGGTGGTGTATGATTTTTGCCTGTTCAATGCTTCCCTATGAGCATAATATACAGGAAGGGGGTAAAAGAGGTTTAGTGTGCGAGGGGCTTGGACATGCAGCAGGCACGTGTGAGTGTGTTAGATAGGGGTGAATGGAGACAAATAGTTTTTGGGGCCTGACGAGCTGTTGAGTGCGAGCAGGGTAATATTTTGTGAAGGGATTTAGGGAAACCAGTTAGCCAGACTTGAGTCCCGGAAGTGGAAAGTACACTTTAAAGAAAGGGTTTGGGATATTTGCTGTTTAGAGTGACATCTAAACTGTTGTATCTGAGTGCCTCTTCAAAGACAGTGATTATGTGTGAATAATGGTGAAAGTGTTTCTTTTTTTTTTGGGTCACCCTGCCTCAGTGGGAGACAGCCAACGTGTTAAAAAAAAAAATTGAGTACTGGGTAAAAGTTAGTAAAGATACTATGATGCATTATAATGTGACAAGTTAGTGGTAGGTGGAATGTTTAATGACATGAATGTAGATGACTAGAAAGTTGTATCCACTAGACTATATAAAAAATTATACTGATATATAAAGTTTACACAATTGTTCTTTGTTATTGTTTAACACTTTATATGAGACTTAATGTACTTGCACAACTTCAGTGTACATAGAAATATAGTGAGGTTAATGAATAAATATACAGGTGGATAAAGCAAGATTTTACAGTGACTTTTATCTTTTTCCCTGAGCAGCCTTGTTGAACAGTATTAAATCTAGAAAGTTGGATGTCTTTTTCGAGATGGAAGAGAAAATAATGGGTCGTAGCACACTGGAGAGGCCTTTAATGGAGGTGAGTCATCATTTATTGTCAGAGATAACAGTATAATAAAGGCAATGTAGTTTTCTTTTTCAGGTAAAGTAGAAAACAAATAGTATATTATTTGTTAAAAAAAATTCTGTACAGTAACTGTGAAGTTTTCATGTCATTTACTGAAGTAGTATTATTATTCAGATCCTAAAATGAATTTCTTGGCATTAAAAGGCCTAAATATTTTGATGTACAAATTGTTGACTCACTGCAGGCTTCTTCACTGTAAAATTTTACCCAATTCGACTTGGTCACAGACCGGGCCGTGGGGGCATTGACCCCCGGAACTCTCTCCAGGTAAACTCCAGGTAGGTGTCCATGAATAGTGTTCACAAGGGTATATACAAAGGCAATAAACATTTACTGGTAGTACAGTACTTCTGTTGACTAATGAGAGTAGTGTTTCTTACTTGAAGGTGGAGTTAATTGGGGTTCCAAGTGCTGAGTTTTGCTGTGTGATGATTGGCTTGATATGGTTGCTAGTGTTAAAAGTATTTGTGGGTACTGCTTAGAAGTGAATCTAAGAGTATGCCTACTATTTTAGATATTTGTAGAAGAATGTTGTGTATTGTGGCAAGATGTACTTGTGCACATAGTTTACCTTCTTGCTAATTACATATTTGGGAGTGTTTTTATTCCAAGAGCTGTTAACTTAGATGATACTTACCAAATATATTGTTTCTACATTCAGTGTGTGTGTGTTTGTGGACATCCATAATGGAATTTTTATAAGTTCTTCATTAACCCTTCCACTGTTACCCATGTAGATGTATGTACATGTAATTGATGCCAGTGTCACTCACATGGATCTACTTTTTAAGCACAATGCCCTCAAATATGCTGCCAGCACCAAATTTTGCCCTAGACATAAGAAAATGAGTCTATGCAATGAGTGTGCACAATATAAAAAAAAATCCTGCCCCATGCAATGCATGGTGGGAAAATAAAACCTCCAACCTTGAGTTTGGTTGAAAATAGATTCAAGGTGCTTTTTTTGGCATTTTTTATAGTTTTATTAGCTGTTTCTTGATATTGATTGATAGAATGGAAGACATACTTGTGAAAGAGCGATGATTTTGGTCATTTTCAGGAATGGTAGTAGCTTGATTATTATTATAATCAAAAAGAAGCGCTAAGCCACAAGGGCTATACAGCGCTGCAGGGTAGGGAAGGAAGCGAGGGTATTGGATGGCAGAAGGGAGGAGGGATGATCAGTAGGTTACAGAAAACAGCGGGGCGGGGGATAGTACGGGGGTAGAGGGTAGCAAGAGATTGAAGTAGAAAGGGCTGAAGGTATCAGAATTTGTGAAGTAAGTCAGTTGTTGTCAAAAAGTCAATGAGAGAGTCTGGATGAAAGGTGGGTCCATCAGCGAGAAGGGAAGGTAAAGAGAGAGCAGCAGAGCGAAGACGACGACGGAGGTAAATTCTGCGTGCTCGTTGATAAAGTGGGCAGTCCAACAGAATATGGCTGACTGATAATGGAACTTGGCAATTCTCACAGAGAGGAGCAGGGCGCCTCTCCATGAGATATCCACGAGTAAGACGAGTATGGCCAATGCGAAGACGGGAGAGAGTAGTCTCCCAACCTCGACACTGGTGAGAAGAAGACGGCCAGTAACCTATACTCGGTTTAATAGATTGAAGTTTGTTGCCGAGCATAGTAGACCAACGTTGCTGCCAACGGGTGTGAAGTTGGGAAGATATTGCAGCAAAATAGTCCGTAAATGGAATACCTCTACATGAAACTGGTAGGTCATGTACTGCTGACCGCGCAGCAGTGTCTGCCTGTTCATTGCCCTGTACGTCAACATGACCAGGGACCCAACAAAAAACAATATCTTTATGCTTGGTAAAGATGCGGCGTAGCCAAAGTTGGATACGGAGGACTAAGGGGTGAGGTGTATCAAATTTCTGTATAGCCTATAAAGTACTAAGGGAGTCTGAGACAACCACAAATGATGACACAGGCATAGATTGCAATACGGATAAGTGCCTGTAAGGATGGCATACAATTCAGCAGTAAAAATACTAGCCGAAGATAGTAAATGCCCTTGTACGACGCTGTCCGGAAACACTGCTGCGAATCCTACACCGTTTAGAAGACTTTAGAGCCATCTGTGTACACAGCAATGGCATGAGAATGAGAGTGAAAGTGGTCAAGAAAATGAGAGCGGGAAGCGACCGTAGACAGTTGGGCTTTCGAGCAAGGGAGAGAGAAAGAACAGACTCGAACAGCTGGAACTTCCCAGGGGGGTAGGGAAAAGTGAGATGCTACATGTACATAGAAAGGTGGTAATTGAAGAGGGAAGAAGAGCGAATGAAGGGGAAAAAGAAAGGGACGGAGTAAACAGGGGCGGCGAACAAATAAAGAATGTCTACTAATATCAGTGACCATTCTATAAATGGAAGGATTGCGGAGATGAGAGCGTACATAGTAGCGAAGGCAATGGGCATCACGGCGATCGGATAAGGATGGAACGTTCGCTTCTGCATAGAGGCTCTCGACAGGGGAAGAGCGAAAAGCACCAAGGCATAAACATAATCCTTGGTGATGAATGGGGTTAAGGCTAGAGAGAGTAGCAGGAGATGCCGCTGAATAGATCTGGTCACCATAATCAAGTTTCAATAAGATAAGGGTGGAATGTAGGCGAAGGAGGGTTCGACGATCAGCTCCCCATGAAAGATGAGCAAGGGTTTTAAGGAGGTTCAGCCGGCTGTGGCAAGTTGCCTTCAGAGAGGTAATGTGAGGTTTCCAGGATAACCTACGGTCAAAGAGGAGGCCCAGAAACTTGACTGTATCACGTTCAGGGATACGGGAGCCATAGAGGTACAAAGGATGATCGGAGAAAAGAGCTTTAGTGAAAGTAATTTGGTGGGTTTTAGTGCGGAAAAATTTAAACCCATGTGTGGGGGCCCCAAATTTGGAAAACAGTCGACTGCTGCGGAGAGAAACGAAATAAGGGACAGTCACCCCCTGCACAGGCAATAGCGAAGTCATCAACTAGAGTGATGCCCAAATATTTGAGGGGAAGGGATAGGGGCCAAATCTTTAATAGCAAGGAGAAAAAGTGTTGTGTCAAAAACCATCCCTGGGGGACACCTTCACTTGGATAAAGCCCGGGGGAGGCACATTTTTCCCAAAGGGAAAATGCCCGTCATTTAAAAAAGTTTTTAAAGGGAAGGATGGTAGATTGCCTCGAAGGCCTAAGGAGGGGCGGGCAAAAATTTATACCCCCAAGTTGTGTCATATGCCTTTAAAGGGTTAAAAAATATGGCAAAAAACTGAGTGGTTTTCGCAAAGGCTTTTACGAAATACGTATCCAAGCGTAGTAAGGGGTCTAGGGTAGAACGTCCCTTACAAAACCCATATTGACGAGTGGAGGATGTTGTGGTCTCTAAATACACACTAAACGTTATTTACTAGGTGTTCCATCACTTTGAAAACTGCATGGTAAGAGAAAGGGGGGACGATAGTGGGAGGTTTCAGTCCCGTAGTGCCGGTTTGGGGAAAAGGGGAAAAACAATGGGGATTTCCAAGCTGGGGAAAGAACCCCTTGGACAAATAAGATTGTAAAGGGTATGGGGACTGAAAGGGTGACTGATGTAATTTTGTGCATACGAATATGAATGTCGTCGGGGCCCCAGCTCCCGATTTTTGGCAAGCTGAGTTGTTGCCCCCAGTTTTTGAAGTGTAAAAGGCACATTATATTTTCTTTTGAGGAAGAAAAGCCCAAAGGGTGCAAATTCTCGGGCAGACTTTGAGGAAAAAAATGGGGGCTAGTGGGTCCCTGAGAAATTGGACCAGAGTTGCCAATTTCTTGGCAACATCTAGTGGTTTGCTATATCAACACCGGCAACCCCCCAGAACAGGAGGGGGGGTCAGGAAAATTTTACCTCAGTTTTCGTACTTTTTTCCGACTGCACTCTTAGAGGAAGAGAGGGATGGTGGGACATAATTCGCCGCAAGTGCGTTTAGCTTACGGATGACACGGCGAGCGATCGCACGTTTGTTTAAAATTTAAGAAGTTCTCTGGGGTTCTATTGTCGGTACGCCCCATGCAGCGCTTTAAACGTCTCACGGACAAGCGGGGACCCCCAAAGGGAAATGCATTTCTGAAAATGCCTCCCCAAATTTTGGGGTATAAATGAGAAGCTGGGGTTTTAAAAAGGAGGACGGAAGATTTTGTAAAAGCTCATCGATGGGGGGACAAAAAAAAGGAACCTCTAAAAAAACAGTTAGGTGTGAGAAAAGGTTTCCCAATTTGCCTGATCAAATTGCCGCGGGGGAGCGAAGAGGTGGGAATATAAAGGGAAGAAAGAATGATTGGGAAATGATCGCGCATGAAAGCCGGAAAAAACAGCCCAAAGTGAAGTTAAGCGGGGAGGAAAAGAGCGCTGAGGATCGAGCAAAGAGGTGTGAGTCGGGGATCAAAATGGGTGTGGTACTGTATTTAAACATGGAGGGGGTGGGTGGAAAAAAAGCCTTAACTGAATCCCAGGGAATAAGTGAGACCTCCCCAAAAGGGGAAAATGGTGGGTTTTTAAAATCAAAAAAAAAAAAAAAATAAAAAAAAAACAAAAAACGGTGGTGGTAATGACGAAACAAAAAAAGGAATACCCGGAATAGATTGCCGGGAAAAGGAGAGGAAAAAAGAACAGAGCGTTACCACCTAGCAAGTGGATACGGGTCTGTGTAATGCAGCAAAGTACGAACAAATGTGATGGTCGGAATTCAGTGCGTAGAAAGGGCACTTTATTAAAGGTCCCATCAGGAAAAGGTTAGAATACAATAAATTATAGCCTGAGATGGGAGGATAACGCGGGATGAAATTTTTGGGTTCCCTGAAAGCAAACACCAACAGGGAAAAATGGGGGAACATTGAAGCTCACCCCGATTACCCTGGGGCCGGTATTTTCCCCTGTAAATAGGCCATGTTGGGCAAGTTTAAAGACCCCTGAAATCTGCAGGAAAGGGGTTTCCCTACAGACTAGGGGGTTAAAAAAAGCCCAATGCGGAGGCAGTGGAAAACTTTTAAAGCGGGAAAAGGAAGGGTTTTGCCTGTGAAAAAAAGGAGTTGGCAGATGGAGTAGAGGAGAGAGAAGGAGGGAGGGGGGATCAGTGCCCATTGAGGGTTTTGGCTCGCAAATTTCAGAGATTTCCCCAAGATTTTCAAAATTCGGGAGAGTTTTATGGGAGACAATTTTGGGAAATGGTAGGGGGAGGATAGTAAGATTGGAACTGAAAGGGGGCGTCCCAAGGTAGGGGGGGAGGAAAGGGTGGGGGGAAAACGGGAGAAGGTGGAAAGGGGGGACAAAAAGAGGCGGGAAACTGGGAGGGGGCCGAAGGGGGAAAAAAATTGGGGGGGGAAACAGGGGAGGAAGGTACAGTACGAGGAGGAGGGGGGAACCTCTCATTTGGAAACAGAGCCAGTGAGGGGGGAGAACCAGGTACAGAAAAAGGGAAGGGAAAATGAGGGTGGAAATGGGTGGGGTTTTGTTAACGGACCTTTTTTTGACTTTTGAGAAGAAAGGGGGGGACGTTTGGGAGGAGGTTTTCATACGAGATCTCGTCGCTACTGAGGTTGTGAGAGAGAAACAAAAAAAGAAAGTCAGACTGAGACGTTGAAGTAGGGACGTTGAGCGAGGACAGCAAAGAAATTTGCTACAGGAGTGATATGGGCGAGGTAACCCCAAAAAGTGGGTGCGAAGATGGGATACCAGAAGTGGAGGGGCGTTTTGAAAAACGGGAATAAGAAACAGAGGTTTCCCTTTGGGGGCGAAGATGAGAAACTGCCTGGCTAAGGGGGACCTTCTGCCTCTTTGAGGTAACGGATTTCCCCCTCGTTTAAGTAGACTTGAAAAGGCGAGAGACGAAGGGTGAGCCTCATGACAATTAAGGCAAGAGGGGGTGATTGCAAGATGTTTAGAATGGTCATCAGCACACGACTGGGCATCGGCGATGATCTGCAAATTTCGGGGATGGAAAAAGCCAGAATTTCTACACTGTTGCGGTGTGGGATACCTTTTGAACTTGTAACCGATGTCTGCTACAAAACTGAGGAGGGGAGTTTACGGCTGTCAAAAGTTTTAAAAGGCCACATTTCGGGTTCGTCTCCCCCCGCGGGCAGGAAAAAACGTAAGTGTTACCCTTTGGGTTGGGAGATCTTTGGAGTTCCAGTGTTCAAGAATGTCAGTGCCACATGTTGGGGAAAATTTTTTTGAACTTGGTATGGGGCGTGATGGTCCACTACAAGAATTGAGGGAATGATGCTTTTCAATAGTTAAGGAATAGTTCGATAGGGGAAAAACAAGGGAAAACTCGTGAGCCTGGGTAGCATTTTTCAGTGACGTGCGCGTACCCCTCTTAAGAGATGAAAAGAAATATCTTACCAACATGGGGTAGGAGTGCCTTGCCAATACTGTTGGGTCAAAGATAGGAAATAGAGGAAGTCGGTCGTAAAGTGAAGAATTTAGTTTGTGCAGTTGAAATGAGCGTGGAAAAAGGGAGTGAAGGACGTGTCGATCTTTTTGAGAAGAACGAGAAAAGGGGGAGAAGTATATCGCGGTAATTGTCGTTGTCGTTTAGGCGTGGGACCAAGTTGGTCCGACGTTGGAACGGGCCGGCGATTCGAAAAAATTTCCCCACCGTAGAGGGAGAGCCGAAGATAGTCAGAGGGAGCGAAGGTCAGATAAATGAAGGAGTCTCGAGGCCTCAGACCTGAAAACGGGTGAGGAAAAAGCACCCGGGAAGAGGTACAGGGCATGAGGATGTGTCCGAAGGGTTTGGGCCAAAAACGAGGGGGGGTCAGAACGGGGGGTGCGGTATCAAGAAGGGGCCCCGGGGGTAGCAGGTTCATGGAAGGGCTGCCTGTTAGGTTTCTTCTTTTTTTTGTTTTTAAGAAAAAAAAGAAAGAAGAAAAAAAAATAAAAATAAAAAAAAGAATAAAAAAGGGGGGATCGGGGAGGGATAGTTCCCAGGAGGAATGAAAGGGGCCCGAAAACCCCCTCCGGCCCAAGAGGACCTCAGCACCGAAGTAGCGCAGATGCAGCATGGAACCCGTGCCATACCCCACCCCTCTGCCCGTAAACCGGCAATCGGGATAGCAACCCACATCTGCGAGCTACCTCGGTGGACAAAAGAAGGGCGGGCCCGGGAAAACCCCACAAAAATACCTCCTTCGGCCACCACCCCCCGGAATCCCAAAGGTGGCTTTCCCGAGATACACCCGTCGCCTGAGAGCACCCAAAGCCCCCCTCCGGGTACGGAGAGGGATCAGGACTCCCCCGGCAAACCCGTTCACGGCAAACTCGCCCCCGCCCAAAACCTCAATGGGAAGGGATGGACCCGGTACCTTTCCCCTACCTAGGAACTAGCGTGCTTGTGGAAAAAAAAAAAAAAAAAAAACCAAAAAGAAAGGGGAAAAGGGGGGGGGGGGGGGGGGAGGAGGAGGAAAGGAAAAAGGGGGGGATGGGGTAGGGGGAAAGGGGGTTGGGGGGTAATTAGGTTGGTCTGAGGAAGTGACCGAAAGGGCTAATTCCTCAGACCCAAAAGCCTCTTCACTATGCCAAGGAGCCCCCTTTAAAAAGGGGGTTGTGCTTGAAATGGGCTAAAATAACAGAAATGTTAGTTTTTTGACAATTTTCTTGAAAAGGGATGGCCCTTGACCTTGGTCTGTTTTATAGATTTTCTTAGGCCAATTTCAATTTAGGCAGGACTAAACCATGACTAATATTCTTGGGTATATTTTATCGAGAAACAGTAAATTTCGATTGTTTTGCGTGATGGGCTCAAAAATTAAGGGCAAGTGATCTTTGGGAAAAGGGCCCGGAATGTGATTAAGAACAGTGAAGTTGTATAGATATAGCCCCCGGCTTTGTAAATTCAATGGGGTTAAAAAATCAGTGTTACAAGTTTAATTAATTTTATTTGGATAATTAAAAATCAGATTTGGCAACCACTGGATAAACTGCGTATCTTCTTGATAATGTACCTGTGGTCAAGTAACATGACAGATGCAGAGTTTAACGAGTATGCCACAGCTCTTACAGAAGTTGAGGCCGACACTAAAGCTCTGCTCTACATGAAGAGGTGGAAGTCATTGATGAAGGTGCAACAAATTGTTTTTTATTTCCTTTACCCACACTTAGAATAATAAGTCGTTGAAAAGCACTGCATAATTTTTAAAGGTACAGCTAATTTTATCTGAAAGCACAAGGCTTTTTCTTATGTTGACTATAAATTTGAGAGGCTAAATTACTCTCTCTGCTTTCTACTACCACTATTACTAATACTACTATTTCCACTACCACTACTTTTTCTACCTATCTTGTTCCCGTCCTTGTGTCCCTCCCTCCCTCACTCTTAGTGATATTGTGACTTTGTAAATGGTCCAAGTTGGATCAAAACTTTGTAAGCTTCTCTCTCCTATGTGTAGGTTATTTGTGTATTGTACCAATCATGGTATTGTGCCTTTTTGTTCCTTATGAGGTTGTTATTGTTATATTTATGGGAAGGTGCTAAACCCACGAGTCTAACCTTGCCTAAAGGAATGGGACGTAGCCTGGTTATATCCAAGGACGAGGGTTCTATTATCGTCTTTTATAAAATATTGTAGACTTGTTGCTTATGAAAATTGTTAAAATTATTTAATGGGTGTCATGAGAGCAATTTTTACATATTTTCAGTCATTTACCTTTCTATTCAGAGGTGCTGACTAAGTGTTATATTTTATAACTTTCTTAATTGGACATTTCATAAGATACATTAAGGAGAATATTTTCACTTGTGGTTTGCTCTCCATAGATTGAGCTTGGGGATTATACTTCCTATATATACTCCTTTATGGATCTTTAGTTTGGTTATAATATTTGTTTGTAGTGTATAGTATTGAGCATAGTATACAGTAGGTTACTTTTCAGGTAACTTAAAAATTTCATAGTGATTTCCTGAAACCAGATGACTGCTGGTGCTGGAATGTCAGAGTATACTGGTGGAGTGGCCAAGACAGTCTCCATGTTTTCCAAGCTCATGAATCAAGGATCTGCTCTGGTCGTAGAAGGTGTCAACTTTGTGCTAAAGGAAAATGTAGGTATTTGGTAAAATAAAGAGACTAGTATTGGAGAAAATCTAAATGTAAATTAAGTTAAACAGTTTTAAAAAATGTACATATATACTTTTTTTTTTGTTGTTGTTGAAATAGTTAATTGAAATAGAGTAGGGATCACTTGAAAATTATCCCCAAGGAAAACAACTCACTGAAATTATTCAGTTGATATGCCAATTATAACTTATGATCCAAAACTAGAAATGTCACCTAAGCTTGCTCTAATTTATGTAGCATATAATAGCAAATTTCTCAATGAGGAAGTAGAACAGAATCCTTCCTCCATTAGCCATGTGTGTCGCAAGAACATAAGGAGGAACACTGCAGCATATCTGTTGGCCCATTCTAGGCAGGTCCATAACAATCCATCCCACTAATAGGATATTTGCTCATCCCAACTTTCAGTGCTGCCCAAGAAACAAGCCCTGATAACTCCATTCACTCATGTGCAAGTCCCACTCAAATCCAACCCCTCTCACTCGTGTATTTATCCAACCTAAATTTGAAACTACCCAAGGTCCTAGCTTCAATAACCCTACTAGGCAAACTGTTCCACTCACCAAATACCCTATTTCCAAACCAATACTTTCCTATATCCTTCCTAAATCTAAACTTATGTAATTTGAATCAATTATTGTGGGTTCTATCTGGGAGAGATATCCTCAAGACCTTATTTATATCCCCTTCGTTAATACCCATCTTCCACTTGTACACTTCAATCATGTCTTCCCTCATTCTTCGTCTTACAGGTGAATGTAATTTAAGGGACTTCAATCTTTCTTCATACGGAAGATTTCTAATGCTATGAATTAATTTTGTCATTCTTCGTTGAATGTTTTCTAACAAATTTATATCCATTCTGTAATATAGAGACTAGAACTGGCGACTAAAATGCCGGGAGCAAGGAGCTAGTAACCCCTTCTCCTCTATACATTACTAAATTTAAAAAGAGAAACGTTTGTTTTTCTTTGTACATCACCCTGCATCTGTGGGATATGGCCGGTTTATTGGAAAAAAACAAACAAACATTGTCAGGTAACCCAAAAGTGGTGTTGAATGATTTAGAACAGTAAGGTTATTGCAGTGAGATATAGTTTTAAGGGAGAATATATGGTGTATGGGTTGCTTGTAGTAAACTTTTTTTAAATACAGAAATTGCCTATCACGAGAATTGTGGACCATTTAATGGAACTGAAAAACTGTGAAGAGGAGAAAGAATACCGGTATTTTGATCCTAAGCTGTTACGTCCAAGTGATGGGACGGGAGCAACACCACGAACTCGCACACCATTTCAGGTGAGAAATTTAACAGTGTGTTATCCAGTATATTTTCATATAGTCGGACTTGAGTCCTGGAAATGGGAAGTACAATGCCTGCACTTTAAGGGAGGTTTGGGATATTGGCATTTTGGAGGGATATGTTGTGTATCTTTATATGTGTATGCTTCTAAACTGTTGTATTCTGAGCACCTCTGCAAAAACAGTGATAATGTGCGAGTGTGGTGAAAGTGTTGAATGATGATGAAAGTATTTTCTTTTTGGGGATTTTCTTTCTTTTTTGGGTCACCCTGCCTCGGTGGGAGACGGCCGACTTGTTGAAAAAAAAAAAAAAAAAAAAAAAGAAGTGTTATCCAGTACAGTAATATAAATTCAGTGAAGCAGTTTTGGAGAAATATAAAGAATATGAGGAAATCTCAGAGCAAATGGTGTGATAATGTATAAGGAGGTTGAAATATGGGAGAAATGGAGTGGGTATTTTGTAGTAGTGTGGAATGTTGATGAAATGAAAGCAAAAATTTCACATTTTGAATGAGGAATAAGAAAATCCTAGAATGATTGACAGTAGAAAACTATATTAAAATATATGTAGCTAGTAATGTTTAATGCTAGCCCAAATGTTATTGAAAAAAGGGACTGGTGAAGGTCTGATTCTTCATTTGTTTGTGGCAAAAACCCAAACTGTGTGCACTAATTTTTAAAATGTAGGAAAGGACCAGGGATTAATGAGATTAAGACTGAAATGATGAGGACAAAGTGTTTAAAATGTGTGTGTTATGCCAGTGCTTTTGTATTGGTGTCAAGCACAGTCTTTAAATTTTCTTGCAAGAAGATTGAAGACAGTAGAAATGTTATGTCTAAGATCAATGTATTGTGTTAATACAGTATCATGTAGAGAATAAAGAGTGATAAAATATGAATGGTATCATTCAAATAGTAGAAAAGGTATTAAGTATGTTTGGTCATAAAGAAAGAGTGGAGGAAGATAGTTGGACTAAGAGGGTATATAAATCTGTGGAGAATGAAATGTGTATATATCTGGGGGATAGAAGATGTAGGCTTGTAGGGTATGTCCAAGGAAAGTTGGGAGGAAAGTGTGGAGGTTTTGAGAGAGGTGTGCATATATTAGTGACTTTGTTTGAATTAAAGTGAATAGAAGTGAGTTTTGGGATTTGAAGTAATGTAGGAGTATGAGCAAGGCAATATCTATGGAGTGATTCATGTAACACTGTTAGTTGGACCTGAGTTTGGTGATGGGAAATATGATGCCTGCACTTACAAAATTAGATGGGGGACATTGCAGTTATGTGGTGCTCTGTAGATCATGATGCATCTGTCCTGGAAATACCATTAGGAAATAAGTAAGAAATCATCAATATACAGTGGACCCTCGACCAACGATGGCATCATCTAACGTTAAATCCGACTAGCGATACATTTTAATGCAAAAATTTTGCCTCGACTAGTGCTAAAAAACTCGACCAACACGATTCATTCCATTCGAGACGCATCCACTTGTGACCAGTGTTTACAAGCCAGCCAGCCACCGCGGTCCCATCCAAACATACAATCGGAACATTTCACATACATATTATCACGTTTCATATTATCACAGCGTTTTTAGTGATTGCACCTGCAAAATAAGTCACCATGGGCCCCAAGAAAGCTTCTAGTGCCAACCCTACAGCAAAAAGGGTGAGAATTACTATGGATATGAAGAAAGAGATCATTGCTAAGTATGAAAGTGGAGTGCGTGTCTCCGAGCTGGCCAGGTTGTACACAAAACCCCAATCAACCATCGCTACTATTGTGGCCAAGAAAACGGAAATCAAGGAAGCTGTTCTTACCAAAGGTGCAACTATGTTTTTGAAACTGAGATCGCAAGTGATAGATGTTGAGAGACTGTTATTGGTGTGGATAAATGAAAAACAGATAGCAGGAGATAGCATCTCTCAAGCGATCATATGTGAAAAGGCTAGGAAGTTGCATGATGATTTAATTAGAAAAATGCCTGCAACTAGTGGTGATGTGAGTGAATTTAAGGCCAACAAAGGTTGGTTTGAGAGATTTAAGAATCGTAGTGGCATAAATAGTGTGATAAGGCATGGTGAGGCTGCCAGTTCGGACCAAAAAGCAGCTGAAAAATATGTGCAGGAATTCAAGGAGTACATAGACAGTGAAGAATTGAAAACTGAAGTGTTTAATTGCTACACTGACAATGTTGTGAAACACTTTAGGAGTGTCATAAAGGAAGTAGGTTGGTAGACAGCAACCACCCAGGGAAGTACTACCGTCCTGCCAGATGACTGTGAAACAAAAACCTGTAATTGTTTTGCATGATGGTAGGATTGCTGGTTTCTTTTTCTGTCTCATAAACACGCTAAGATAACAGGGATATCTTGCTACTCCTACTTACACTTTGGTCACACTTCACAGACACGCACATGCATATATATATATACATACATCTAGGTTTTTCTCCTTTTTCTAAATAGCTCTTGTTCTTTTTTATTTCTTCTATTGTCCATGGGGAAGTGGAAAAGAATCTTTCCTCCGTAAGCCATGCGTGTCGTATGAGGCGACTAAAATGCCGGGAGCAATGGGCTAGTAACCCCTTCTCCTGTATACAATTACTAAAAAAGAGAAGAAGAAAAACTTTATAAAACTGGGTTGCTTAAATGTGCGTGGATGTAGTGCGGATGACAAGAAACAGATGATTGCTGATGTTATGAATGAAAAGAAGTTGGATGTCCTGGCCCTAAGCGAAACAAAGCTGAAGGGGGTAGGAGAGTTTCAGTGGGGGAAATAAATGGGATTAAATCTGGAGTATCTGAGAGAGTTAGAGCAAAGGAAGGGGTAGCAGTAATGTTAAATGATCAGTTATGGAAGGAGAAAAGAGAATATGAATGTGTAAATTCAAGAATTATGTGGATTAAAGTAAAGGTTGGATGTGAGAAGTGGGTCATAATAAGCGTGTATGCACCTGGAGAAGAGAGGAATGCAGAGGAGAGAGAGAGATTTTGGGAGATGTTAAGTGAATGTATAGGAGCCTTTGAACCAAGTGAGAGAGTAATTGTGGTAGGGGACTTGAATGCTAAAGTAGGAGAAACTTTTAGAGAGGGTGTGGTAGGTAAGTTTGGGGTGCCAGGTGTAAATGATAATGGGAGCCCTTTGATTGAACTTTGTATAGAAAGGGGTTTAGTTATAGGTAATACATATTTTAAGAAAAAGAGGATAAATAAGTATACACGATATGATGTAGGGCGAAATGACAGTAGTTTGTTGGATTATGTATTGGTAGATAAAAGACTGTTGAGTAGACTTCAGGATGTACATGTTTATAGAGGGGCCACAGATATATCAGATCACTTTCTAGTTGTGCTACACTGAGAGTAAAAGGTAGATGGGATACAAGGAGAATAGAAGCATCAGGGAAGAGAGAGGTGAAGGTTTATAAACTAAAAGAGGAGGCAGTTAGGGTAAGATATAAACAGCTATTGGAGGATAGATGGGCTAATGAGAGCATAGGCAATGGGGTCGAAGAGGTATGGGGTAGGTTTAAAAATGTAGTGTTAGAGTGTTCAGCAGAAGTTTGTGGTTACAGGAAAGTGGGTGCAGGAGGGAAGAGGAGCGATTGGTGGAATGATGATGTAAAGAGAGTAGTAAGGGAGAAAAAGTTAGCATATGAGAAGTTTTTTACAAAGTAGAAGTGATGCAAGGAGGGAAGAGTATATGGAGAAAAAGAGAGAGAAGTTAAGAGAGTGGTGAAGCAATGTAAAAAGAGAGCAAATGAGAGAGTGGGTGAGATGTTATCAACAAATTTTGTTGAAAATAAGAAAAAGTTTTGGAGTGAGATTAACAAGTTAAGAAAGCCTAGAGAACAAATGGATTTGTCAGTTAAAAATAGGAGAGGAGAGTTATTAAATGGAGAGTTAGAGGTATTGGGAAGATGGAAGGAATATTTTGAGGAATTGTTAAATGTTGATGAAGATAGGGAAGCTGTGATTTCGTGTATAGGGCAAGGAGGAATAACATCTTGTAGGAGTGAGGAAGAGCCAGTTGTGAGTGTGGGGAAGTTTCGTGAGGCAGTAGGTAAAATGAAAGGGGGTAAGGCAGCCGGGATTGATGGGATAAAGATAGAAATGTTAAAAGCAGGTGGGGATATAGTTTTGGAGTGGTTGGTGACAATTATTTAATAAATGTATGGAAGAGGGTAAGGTACCTAGGGATTGGCAAGAGAGCATGCATAGTTCCTTTGTATAAAGGCAAAGGGGATAAAAGAGAGTGCAAAATTATAGGGGGATAAGTCTGTTGAGTGTACCTGGTAAAGTGTATGGTAGAGTTATAATTGAAAGGAATTAAGAGTAAGACGGAGAATAGGATAGCAGATGAACAAGGAGGCTTTAGGAAAGGTAGGGGGTGTGTGGACCAGGTGTTTACAGTAGAAACATATAAGTGAACAGTATTTAGATAAGGCTAAAGAGGTCTTTGTGGCATTTATGGATTTGGGAAAAGGCGTATGACAGGGTGGATAGGGGGGCAATGTGGCAGATGTTGCAAGTGTATGGTGTAGGAGGTAGGTTACTGAAAGCAGTGAAGAGTTTTTACGAGGATAGTGAGGCTCAAGTTAGAGTATGTAGGAAAGAGGGGAAATTTTTTCCCAGTAAAAGTAGGCCTTAGACAAGGATGTGTGATGTCACCGTGGTTGTTTATATATTTATAGATGGGGTTGTAAGAGAAGTAAATGCGAGGGTCTTGGCAAGAGGCGTGGAGTTAAAAGATAAAGAATCACACACAAAGTGGGAGTTGTCACAGCTGCTCTTTGCTGATACACTGTGCTCTTGGGAGATTCTGAAGAGAAGTTGCAGAGATTGGTGGATGAATTTGGTAGGGTGTGCAAAGAAGAAAAATTAAAGGTGAATACAGGAAAGAGTAAGGTTATGAGGATAACAAAAAGATTAGGTGATGAAAGATTGAATATCAGATTGGAGGGAGAGAAGTATGGAGGAGGTGAACGTATTCAGATATTTGGGAGTGGACGTGTCAGCGGATGGGTCTATGAAAGATGAGGTGAATCATAGAATTGATGAGGGAAAAAGAGTGAGTGGTGCACTTAGGAGTCTGTGGAGACAAAGAACTTTGTCTTGGAGGCAAAGAGGGGAATGTTATGAGAGTATAGTTTTACCAACGCTCTTATATGGGTGTGAAGAGTGGGTGATGAATGTTGCAGCGAGGAGAAGGCTGGAGGCAGTGGAGATGTCATGTCTGAGGGCAATGTGTTTGGGGTGAATATAATGCAGAGAATTCGTAGTTTGGAAGTTAGGAGGAGGTGCGGGATTACCAAAACTGTTGTCCAGAGGGCTGAGGAAAGGGGTTGTTGGGGTGGTTCGGCATGTAGAAAAGAATGGAGCGAAAAGAATGACTTAAAAGATTTGTATCAGTTTTTTGTGGAAAAAAGGCCCGGGGGTGGGGGTCGGCCTGGGAAAGGGGTTTTTGGAGGGGGGGGGGGGGGTTAAAGGGGGTTTTTGGTGTGCGGGGGGCTTGGCCCTTCCCGGGGGCCTCCCTTTGGGGCGTGTTTGATAGGGGGAAATGGGGGCAAATGGTTTTTAATACTTGACGTGCTTTTTGGAAAGTGTGAGCAAAGTAACATTTTTAAGGGGTTTCAGGGAAACCGGCAGGCCGGACTTGAGTCCTGGGGGAGGGGGTACATGCCCGCACTCTGAAGGGGGGGGGGGGGTTTAAAGTTGCAGTTTTTAAAAATGTAGTGTTAAAAACACCCTTCTGGCAAAACAGGGATGGAGTGAATGAAGGGGAAAGTTTTTTCTTTTTTCGGGCCCCCCCTGCCCTTTGGGGGGAAACGGCCCCGGTTTTGAATAAAAAAAAATTTAAAAAAAGGAAAGGGGAGGTACAGGCCTCAAAGGGGCAGATTTTTGTTGTGCGACAGAGGTTCCCAGTCCTCCCCAAGCTGGGCCCAGTGGCATTAAAAGAAGGGAAGTAACCCTGGAAAAGGACTTTACACCTCAAGTCCTAATGGAAGGGGATTCCCCTTCTAAACACTAACACCATCCACACTCTCCCCTCCTCCCATCCCATCAATCATCACCAGATCTCAATAAAGGTAAGTGTCATGTAATTGTACATGTCTTCTTCAGTTTGAGCGATTGGTGGAATGATGATGTGAAGAGAGTAGTAAGGGAGAAAAAGTTAGCATATGAGAAGTTTTTACAAAGTAGAAGTGATGCAAGGAGGGAAGAGTATATGGAGAAAAAGAGAGAGGTTAAGAGAGTGGTGAAGCAATGTAAAAAGAGAGCAAATGAGAGAGTGGGTGAGATGTTATCAACAAATTTTGTTGAAAATAAGAAAAAGTTTTGGAGTGAGATTAACAAGTTAAGATAGCCTAGAGAACAAATGGATTTGTCAGTTAAAAATAGGAGAGGAGAGTTATTAAATGGAGAGTTAGAGGTATTGGGAAGATGGAGGGAATATTTTGAGGGAAATTTTTAAATGTTGATGAAGATAGGGAAGCTGTGATTTCGTGTATAGGGCAAGGAGGAACAACATCGTGTAGGAGTGAGGAAGAGCCAGTTGTGAGTGTGGGGGAAGTTCGTGAGGCAGTAGGTAAAATGAAAGGGGGTAAGGCAGCCGGGATTGATGGGATGAAGATAGAAATGTTAAAAGCAGGTGGGGATATAGTTTTGGAGTGGTTGGTGCAATTATTTAATAAATGTATGGAAGAGGGTAAGGTACCTAGGGATTGGCAGAGAGCATGCATAGTTCCTTTGTATAAAGGCAAAGGGATAAAAGAGAGTGCAAAAATTATAGGGGGATAAGTTTGTTGAGTATACCTGGCAAAGTGTATGGTAGAGTTATTATTGAAAGAATTAAGAGTAAGACGGAGAATAGGATAGCAGATGAACAAGGAGGCTTTAGGAAAGGTAGGGGGTGTGTGGACCAGGTGTTTACAGTGAAACATATAAGTGAACAGTATTTAGATAAGGCTAAAGAGGTCTTTTTTGGCGTTTATGGATTTGGAAAAGGCATATGACAGGGTGGATAGGGGGGCAATGTGGCAGATGTTGCAGGTGTATGGTGTAGGAGGTAGGTTTTCTGAAAGCAGTGAAGAGTTTTTTACGAGGATAGTGAGGCTCAAGTTAGAGTATGTAGGAAAGAGGGAAATTTTTTCCCAGTAAAAAGTAGGCCTTAGACAAGGATGTGTGATGTCACCGTGGTTGTTTAATATATTTATAGATGGGGTTGTAAGAGAAGTAAATGCGAGGGTCTTGGCACGAGGCGTGGAGTTAAAAGATAAAGAATCACACATAAAATGGGAGTTGTCACAGATGCTCTTTGCTGATGACACTGTGCTCTTGGGAGATTCTGAAGAGAAGTTGCAGAGATTGGTGGATGAATTTGGTTAGGGTGTGCAAAAGAAGAAAAATTTAAAGTGAATACAGGAAAGAGTAAGGTTATGAGGATAACAAAAAGATTAGGTGATGAAAGATTGGATATCAGATTGGAGGGAGAGAGTATGGAGGAGGTGAATGTATTCAGATATTTGGGAGTGGACGTGTCAGCGGATGGGTCTATGAAAGATGAGGTGAATCATAGAATTGATGTGGGGAAAAGGGCGAGTGGTGCACTTAGGAGTCTGTGGAGACAAAGAACTTTGTCCTTGGAGGCAAAGAGGGGGGAATGTATGAGAGTATAGTTTTACCAACGCTCTTATATGGGTGTGAAGCATGGGTGATGAATGTTGCAGCGAGGAGAAGGCTGGAGGCAGTGGAGATGTCATGTCGAGAGCAATGTGTGGTGTGAATATAATGCAGAGAATTCGTAGTTTGGAAGTTAGGAGGAGGTGCGGGATTACCAAAACTGTTGTCCAGAGGGCTGAGGAAGGGTTGTTGAGGTGGTTCGGACATGTGGAGAGAATGGAGCGAAACAGAATAACTTCAAGAGTGTATCAGTCTGTAGTGGAAGGAAGGCGGGGTAGGGGTCGGCCTAGAAAGGTTGGAGGGAGGGGGTAAAGCAGGTTTTGTGTGCGAGGGGCTTGGACTTCCAGCAGGCATGCGTGAGCGTGTTTGATAGGAGTGAATGGAGACAAATGGTTTTTAAATACTTGACGTGCTGTTGGAGTGTGAGCAAAGTAACATTTATGAAGGGGTTCAGGGAAACCGGCAGGCCGGACTTGAGTCCTGGAGATGGGAAGTACAGTGCCTGCACTCTGAAGGAGGGGTGTTAATGTTGCAGTTTAAAAACTGTAGTGTAAAGCACCCTTCTGGCAAGACAGTGATGGAGTGAATGATGGTGAAAGTTTTTCTTTTTCGGGCCACCCTGCCTTGGTGGGAATCGGCCAGTGTGATAATAATAAAAATATTTCATGTGGGAAATTTTTTTTTTTTTTCAATACTTTTGGGTGTCCTGCACGGATTAAGTTGATTTCCATTATTTCTTATGGGGAAAATTAACTCGACTAACGATAATTTCGATTAACGATGAGCTCTCAGGAACGGATTAATATCGTTGGTTGAGGGTCCACTGTATATTAAACAAATTAATTGTAAATGCTATATTAAAATCTTGCATCTTTCTAAAGTTTTTACACTAAGTTTTTATTGCCATTTTCCTATAGAATAGTATTTTCAGTATGCTGGATCAAGTTCCACAAATGATAGTTATAAACTAATGGCAGAGCTAGATAGCTTTTTATGCCAGATTTTAAGTTTTTTAATTGTATCTACCATCTTTGAATTATATGACCCCAATGAGTTTAGCGCTTCTTCCAGATTAAAACTAAATTGTTACCTCTGTCATTTTTTTTATTTTGATATAGGATGCAGTGGTCTTTGTGGTTGGTGGTGGTAACTACATGGAATATAATAATCTTGTCAGTTATGCAAAGAAGAAGGCTGGTACTAGCAACAAAAGAATAATTTATGGGTGCACAGATGTTGTTAATGCAGAGCAATTCCTCACACAGGTAAAAAAAGATTGTACCAAGAATTGCATTTTTGTATTTTATCTGTTTTGTTGCCATATGCTACATGATATATTTTAAAACTGGCAGTTGAGTAATGAGGATAGAGCAAACAGATGAATTGCCTTTGGAATTGTATTGTATATTTTAAAACCTTGAAATTAATATCAATAATATGTGATTTTTCAATATCTATCTTGCAGCTCACCAAGCTTGGTGCAGAGATGTCCTGAGTTGATAAAACTATGGTGAAAATTCCCTTGCCTTCTGAAGCAAATTATATATAAATATCTGCTGATGTTTATTGTTGAATATACTGTATATATTTTTTCTATGGATATACCGTAATATATTTTAATTTTTCTTACATTCCAAGAATATATTTCACCTTGACAGCATTTCAGAGTACAGTATGGCCTTGATTTACAATGTTTTAACTTATGATTGCCTGTGCTTATGATATGGGCACTTTGGAACCACTTAATGATCGAATGCCATTTTGCAGTTAGTCAGTGCAAATATTTAAACGGAAAACATTTTCAGTAAATAACTTTTTCTTTGCAATTTTTTCACCAAATGCATTCATATTTTGTGTATGTTTATTTTATGTGTATGTAGAGTTCATGTTTTTTTGGTAGAGACTGATAAATAGCTGTAGATTCAGTAATTATGATTTTTGTTAAAGCTAAATTATATTACTTTTCCTCTTATGTTTTCACTATAGGCATTTATATTTTGTGTATGTTCATGTTATTCTTTTGATGGTCTTACATTTGTTTGGAAAGATTGGTCAAGAGCTGTAGATATAAAAACTACACTTTTTGGGGTGTGGTGAGTGTTCATGTGTAGTAACTGATCAGTGGGTGAGGGAATAAATCTGCTTACACCACCTTTCCTGTCTCTCCCTCCCTCCCATTCTGGGGATACAATATTTCCCTCACCATATGTCAAGGCACCTTGTACCCTTACCATAACAGTGGGTAGGGCAGAGTGCATGGCCTGTGTGGTGTCAGAGGTAGAGGAGGGTTGGAGTAGTGTGACTGCAGCTGCTTGTGCAGTATGTAGTCAGTGGGCGAGGCAGCAACTCCACTTATACCGCTGCCTTCCCAACCTGTGCACACAGTATCTACATCACCAACTGTCCAGACACCTTATGTTCTTGTAAATCTAATAATAATGTAACTAAAACTCAATTATGGTTTCTAGACATTTAAGAACACTGTCTTCCCAGGGCTGTATGTCTAAATCATTGTATTGTTAAAGACCATGACAGGCAAAAAGTCTCATTAATAAATATCTCAATACTGCATTTGTGTGTTATAGACATATCCATATTAATCACCATTTTTTTTTTTTTTTCAACAAGTCGGCCGTCTCCCACCGAGGCAGGGTGACCCAAAAAAAGAAAGAAAATCCCCAAAAAGAAAATACTTTCATCATCATTCAACACTTTCACCACACTCGCACATTATCACTGTTTTTGCAGAGGTGCTCAGAATACAACAGTCTAGAAGCATACACACATAAAGATACACAACATATCCCTCCAAACTGCCAATATCCCAAACCCCTCCTTTAAAGTGCAGGCATTGTACTTCCCATTTCCAGGACTCAAGTCAGACTATATGAAAATATAACCGGTTTCCCTGAATCCCTTCACTAAATATTACCCTGCTCACACTCCAACAGATCGTCAGGTCCCAAGTACCATTCGTCTCCATTCACTCCTATCTAACACGCTCACGCACGCTTGCTGGAAGTCCAAGCCCCTTACCCACAAAACCTCCTTTACCCCCTCTCTCCAACCCTTTCGAGGATGACCCCTACCCCGCCTTCCTTCCCCTATAGATTTATATGCTTTCCATGTCATTCTACTTTGATCCATTCTCTCTAAATGACCAAACCACCTCAACAACCCCTCTTCTGCCCTCTGACTAATACTTTTATTAACTCCACACCTTCTCCTAATTTCCACACTCCGAATTTTCTGCATATTTACACCACACATTGCCCTTAAACAGGACATCTCCACTGCCTCCAACCGTCTCCTCGCTGCTGCATTTACCACCCAAGCTTCACACCCATATAAGAGTGTTGGTACTACTATACTTTCATACATTCCCTTCTTTGCCTCCATAGATAACGTTTTTTGACTCCACATATACCTCGATGCACCACTCACCTTTTTTCCCTCATCAATTCTATGATTAACCTCATCCTTCATAAATCCATCCGCCGACACGTCAACTCCCAAGTATCTGAAAACATTCACTTCTTCCATACTCCTCCTCCCCAATTTGATATCCAATTTTTCTTTATCTAAATCATTTGACACCCTCATCACCTTACTCTTTTCTATGTTCACTTTCAACTTTCTACCTTTACACACATTCCCAAACTCATCCACTAACCTTTGCAATTTTTCTTTAGAATCTCCCATAAGCACAGTATCATCAGCAAAAAGTAACTGTGTCAATTCCCATTTTGAATTTGATTCCCCATAATTTAATCCCACCCCTCTCCCAAACACCCTAGCATTTACTTCCTTTACAACCCCATCTATAAATATATTAAACAACCATGGTGACATTACACATCCCTGTCTAAGACCTACTTTTACCGGGAAGTAGTCTCCCTCTCTTCTACACACCCTAACCTGAGCCTCACCATTTACTACCAGTTAATAATTTTTTTGTCCTTATATTCAATTGTGGCATCAATCTGGTATTTTATGATTCAGAATTTTCTCTAATATTAACACTACTGTTTTCTTTTTGATTATAATAATAATAACAACACTGTACTGTTGCTGAAGGATAAAATTAATTTTCTTTGAAATATAATCTTTGGAATGTATGTTTCGACATTTGTTGGCTAGAATGTTTGTCCATATTATATATTATCGTAGTAAAAAAAATTTTACATTATTTTTTATTTAATTATGCATTCCTTTCATTTTGAGTAAACAGGGCCAGCCTTTGAGATTTCCGTATGAGATAATAAAATTGGCAAATACAGTAATTTAATTTTCCTAATTACTGTACATCCCTTAGTAAGCACCCATCTTTTCATAGTGGGCTGATGAAAGCCTTCCTAGATACCATCCTGTCAGATGAGTGCAAAATATAACTTCTCAGTTTGCACTCTGGCAGGATTGCTTGTCTTTTCTGTCACATGAAGGCAAATCTTACTGAATGCAAGTACTGTAGAAGATTTTATCTAAATCACTTTCTTATGCACTTTAGTTTTTATTAATCCCTCAAGAGATTCCTTGATGCTGGTGACTGTATGACTCCTGTGGGTTTTGCATTAGTCCTGATTGATGCTGGTGAGGGTTCTTGATCCAAGGAATTACATCTGCCCCTTTCCCTTGGATCAAACCTGAATGCCTCTCATTCTTCCAGCCATTATGCACCCTACAGGTTTAGCACTCCTCATGAATGTAATATTTCTTAATCTTGTAATATTTTCTTTCCAACCATGGAGTCCTTGTCTCAGACCAGACCATGGGCAAGATAATTCTCATCAAGGCAGGGGTGACCCAAGAAAAATGAAACAGCTATTGAATGTCTTGCCAGAAGTGTGCTGACAACACAGTTCAGGTGACCCTCTGAACTGCAATGCAGCACTGTATGACCCTTTCATATTTAGAGCTTAATTATAAAAATACTATAATCCTGCATTATTCCCTGCCCTGCTGCGCTGTATGACCCTTGTAGGTTTAGCGCTTCTTTTTGATAATAATTATAACAATAATCTCAACTTAAATATTTCCAACCCCTCCCGAGTGCGGGCACAGCTTCCCACCTCCAGGTAACCAAACTTCCCTGAATCCTTTCATAAATTTTACCTTGCTCATTCTCCAACAATGCATCAATAACTTCCTTCAACCCTACCTGGGATAATCCCTTCCTCCCCTGATTTATACACCCTCTTAATCACCTTATTTTGCTCCACCCTCTCTAAATGCCCAAACCACCACAACAACCTTTCAGCCTTCCAAATGCTGTATTATCACTGCACTACATATGGCTTAGCGCTTCTTTTTGATTATAATAATAATAATACTGCACTACATATATTCACAGGCAAACACTAAACCTAAGGGTCATAAGCACCTAACAGCTTTAGAGATGCATCAAAGAATGCAACTCGCTTCCACCTGCAGTGCCTTGCCTCTTCCACCTCATTAAATGATCAGCACCTCGCACTCTCACCATGACCACCTTAGATGAAATCATAATGGAATTTATTATATACATGCACTATGTATTCATGCATTTATTAATACAGTACAGCAAAATACAGATTACAGTACTTGGGCAAATAGTATAGAGGTGCTATACTGTAACTAAGTTTCCCCACTAATGTTAGTATGGACAGTACTATAAAAAATTGCTTAACTACTGTTAATAAAACCACATATCCATTGAAACAAATTGTTACAGCTGAACACACTATCCACAGAAAAGTTTAGCGCTTCCCCCTTGATTATAATAATAATAATAATATCCACAGAAAAATAAGTTTTCTAAGCTGATTTAGGAATTTTACTGGAGTAATATAAGCAAGACATGCCTGAACATTCCAAACGTGTACCAAGATAAGGATTTATGTGGGAATCATGGTTTAAAAATGTGTCAAGACTGATAATAGTGAAATTAGGCTGGCCTACCATAAGAAAAGAGGCTGTATAGTCCTTGTGGCTTAGCGCTTCTTTTTGATATTATTATTATTAAGAAAAGAGGAGAAAATTGTAAAAGGCATTTCAGTTTTGGCAATCTTAATGAGCTATATCCAAGTATAGTAGCATATATCAGTACATCAAAAAAAAATACAAATCTTAAAAACATTATATCATATTTGTACCAATTTTTTTTCATTGCTAAATATATATTTCTTAAAATTGAGTATAACTTTCACTGGTTCTATGTTTTCAACTATGGGGGAATAATTCTGTCCACTTTTGGCTTTCTTTTTACCTCCTGAGAGCTTCTGCAAGGTAACTTTGGTAGTATCCTGTAAGCTGTTAACTCTTACTTTCAACTTGCCACTCTGGCCAAAAGTGCCATCAATGGTACCCTCTTCTCCTGTTGAGAGCTTTACCTTGAGACCCATAAAGAGCTGGATATTGGTATCTTTCTTCAGTAGATTTTTCACAATAACTTCATTATCATTTGCAAGTCTTTCAATAACACCTTCCTTACTCTTGTCTTTGTAAACTTTAACCTTCTGCAGATGTGTGTCATGATAGCCCTTGTCTGTGAAGACTTCCAGCAGTTTTCCTTTGAATGCTAGACGACACATGTTAGTATGAACATCCATGTCTAATTTTGACCCTATTAATACAGCATTTGGAACTATTTGTACTGTTTTTTCAAATTCCAGAAGTGCAAACTGATGCTTTGGTTTATAAGTAACATCATCATCAAGTTTTTGTAAATCAAATAGCTCCTGTTGATATCTATAGGTATGGTCATAAATAAATTCATTATTAACACAAAGTTCATCTTCAGTACCAAAAAATGTTACTTTGGCCATAACTGTTTCATGACCAAGGCTTACATGAAACTTTGCCTTTGTCTCCACTGGCAGTTTGTAATAAGTAATCTTTACTACTTCAGCAATAACCCCAGAAGCTGTCTGTATAAATCCTGGCATACCAACTATACCTCGCTCTAACTGCTTAGGGTCAAACTGTGTTACACATATACCAACTCTATCTCCTTGTGAGGCCTTTCCTACTGGCTGTCGAAACATCTGCATAGATTTAACTTTCTTTGACACCATCAGACTAGGAATTTCAATATTATCATTTACAGAAACTGTTCCTTGTAGCACTGTTCCTGTCATGACAGTCCCTTGACCTCTTATACTAAAACAGTGATCAACTGCATACAAAAATGGACCTATAGATTCTCTTTCAGGAATATAAGCAAACTTTTGTAGTTCATCAATTAAATCTTTCACTCCAACAGGTTCAATATCAGGTACATCTGGACCTCCTGGCTTAGCTGCTACTACGATGATTTCTGCATTGGCAAATTTTGTTTTCTGTAAAGTGATTAATATCCTTTTTGTCATTTTCTCAACAACTGACTTTTGTTTCTCCAAAGCCACCAAATCTATCTTGTTTAAAACCACTAAGAGGTGATCGCACAAAATTTCACCAATAACTAAGCATTCTGCTGTCTGAGTTTGGATTCCTTTTGTAACGTCGACAACAAGCATCACAGCATCAATAATCTGTGCTCCTCCAATGATAGTCCTAATCAGTGATGCATGCCCAGGGCAGTCTACTAAGGTAAACTGAAGCTTTTCATACCCAGAGTCCTTAATATGATCTGGGGCATTCACAACGAAGGAGCTAAAGCCAAGATCAATGGTAATACCTCGTTCTTTTGACTGTGGGTTTTTGTCAAAGCAAGCAGTGCTGGCTACAGTGCTGAGAGCTTTAGCCAAGGATGTCTTGCCACTGTCCACATGTCCAAGGACTCCAATATTGAAATTTAAAATTTTGTTCTCCATCATGAAGAAACAGCAGCCACTCCTGAAATAAAAATAAATCAGCAATGAATTAAGGTTATATAATTCTGAAGAGCATATATGTGACTTGTTTCGAGATTTTTTTTCTACCCTCAAAGCCACCTTCCAACCCTTCCTGTTTCTAGGACGATCCGTATACCTCATACCTTCCACACCTGATTTATGCACCCTCTTCATTAGTCTATTCCTCTTCATCCTCTAAACCCCTCCTCAGCTCTCTGAATTATATTCTTTGTGACCCCATAATATCTTTTAATTTCTACAAAATGAACCGTGACATCACCAAGAGCATAGCTCATTTCCTGTATGTAGATACAAATAATTACTCCTGATTTAGAAGGAATGTACAAAAGAACTTGGTTATTCATTATTGATCATTTTCAGGACCTCACTCAAAAAGGATAAATTAGTATTCTAGACAGAAAAATAGCATTTATGCCAATATTTAAAAATGGTAAGAATTTTTATTTCATATGCTCAAATGGTAACCATTGAGCATATGAAATTTGTAACCACTGAGGATCTATGGCTCAATTGCTGACATGGATGAAAATGTTATGCATGTGTCCTTACGCCTATTGCTCCTCTTCACCTAAGTGGTGGCTGACTCCTGTAAGTCACATTGCATAGTGTGTTAGTAGTATACAGTGGAACCTTGATACTCGAACAGCTTTGTATCAGGATGCGACCCATGCCAGTTAACTAACACCCAGGTACCCATTTTATACTGATGGGTGAACACGGACAGCAGGTGTCTTATGGAAACACATGCTAATGTTATCCACCCGTACCGGGGATTTGAACTCCGGACCTCAGTGTGTGAGCTGAGTGCACTAGCGATCAAGCTACGGGACATCTTTCATCTACGTTAGGAGCAATTCACTCTACAGGATCGTGAAATGTTGCCGCAATAATGCCACATTAGTTACACATCCTTTTACCTAACATTATCATTAACTCTGAAGCCTCTACTGATCTACCACTCTGAAAACCCAAGGGCCTTTACAAAACATAATGTGCAGAAAACTCAGTTACCTGTGATATGGAGGTCAAACAGAAAGGCTTGGGTAACCAGAGAATATTTCACCAAATGGTTTAATGTTGTGTTTGGGCCAAGTGTAAAAAGTTATTTAGAGGAGAAAAAACCTGCCTCTGAAGGCCCTCGTCATAATGGACAATGCTCCAGCTCACCCTCCAAGCTTGCAGGACTATGTGCTGCTGGAGTTTTACTTCATCACTGTAAAGTTTCTTCCCCCTAACACAACTCCTCTCATTCAGCTCATGGATCAGCAGGTCACCAGTAATTTCAAGAAACTACACTAAAGCACTATTCCAGAGGTGCTCTGAAGTGACCTCTGACAGAGAGTAACCCAGAATTCAGCCATCCATAGTATGCTGGGGGCATTCCCCTCCACCCCCATTGCAGCCTTGGAGGCAGAGTCGGGGATAGTCCCTCTCTCGTCGGCGAGAACAGCGAGGAACTGCTTTTGACTCCATCATATGGCCTCTCTGCCTTGTACTCATCCCTGCCGCCTCTCTCCTCAGATGTGGGAGACAGCCTCTGTCCCCCCACGTTTGGTTCAGCCTTCCTTTGTGGCCAGGGCCCAGCATTCCCTGACCTGCCTTACACTTCCTGTGCTTGTGATGACTCCCTCCCCTCTTCACTCTCTGGTTACCCCCCTGGCTGGACCTGACGCGGTACATTCACCTGGATTGACATTACAGGAACAGGGAACCCCCTCAGTTAGCTGCATTTCTGTTTAAAGAGTTTCGCTCTGTTACATATGGCTCTTCATTCTCCGTCTACACGGACGGCTCAGCACAGACCTCCCACCCTTCCACATCCTCTGCGGCCTTCTTCGCTAATCTCTCCTCGTGTCAAACCTAGCTGTTAGACCCTGCTCATTCTGTACTGGCAGGGGAGCCTTTCACCATTCACCAGGCTCTGGCTTTTGTCCTAGATCACATTTCCCCACAGCCATTGGTTCTCTTCTCTGATTCCCAATCCTCCCTGGCACTTTTGTGCTCTGCCCTTCCACGGTCACTAAGTGTCCTCGTTCGTTGGACGCAATCTCTCCTGCGCTTCTTGTGGAGCCCAGGTTGGAGCATCTCCCTTCAGTGGGTACCCGCCCATGTTGGAATCCGAGGCAATGAAGTGGGAGATCGAGTGGCCTCCCTCGCGCACACACTTCCTACTATTACCCTTCTTGCCCTGGGCCACAGTGATTTCACAAGGGCTGTTTGGAAGGGAATCCACCATCAGTGGCAGGAGGGTCTGGCACACTCCCTCTCTTCTTCAGCGTTGGGCTCTGTCCGACCTTTTAATGGCCCCTGCCCTTGGGCTCACAGTTCCAACCGCTCGGTGGATGTTGCACTGACTCGCCTTCGAGTCGGGCACTCGCGACTGGCGGCTCATCTGTACCGCCTTCGGATGACAGACTCTCCATACTGCCCATGGTGTCCCTCACAGCCTGAGACGGTGGAATACTTCTTGTTGTGGTGCCCACGTTATCACTCTGCACGGACTACTCTCTGTGCGGCCTTGCGCATGCTTAGGGTGCACATTTTCACTCTACCTCTCCTTCTCAACGGGAAAGGGTTTCGCCCTCTGGACCGTTGGGAGATATTGGCCTGTACCTGCTCCTTCCTGCTGGCTTCAGGGTTTATCAGGGACATATAATACGCAGTTACTAGTCAAGACATTCTTCCACTTTGGTCGAGGTCCCCTCTCCTAGCACTGGACAGCCAGGCTCGATGTGGAGTAGGCTGTCAGTGGCCCTGAAACTCCACGAAAGAAGAAGAGTTTTGGAAAGATTACTTTGCTATTGCCCACTGCATAACTCTCATTGACAAAGCCTGTCAGGAAGTTTCATACAGAACAATGAACTCTGCTTGGAGGAATTTGTGGCCAGAAGCAGTGGCTGAAAAGGACTTTGAGAGCTTTGAGGCTGTGTCTATAGTGGAGGATATTGTCCTGGGCAGGCCCATGGGTTTGGATGTGAGTGATGGTGATGTAGAGGAGTTAGTGGAGGGGCACAGGGAAGAGCTGACCACTGAGGAGCTGCAGGAACTTGAGAAGGAAGCGCACAAGACTAAGATGGATGCTCTCTCTTTAGGCTCGGAAGAGGAGATAGACGACGCCCCTACTTCATTAATCAAGGAAATCTTTGCCAAATGGATGGACGCCAAAAACTTTGCAGAGAGGTACTACCCCAACAAAGCCCAAACAAGCCGTAAAAGCATTGTCCAGAATGACCAGACAATGTCACATTTCCGAAACATCCCGAGGAGAAGGCAGAAGCAAAGTTCTTCGGACAGATTTTGAGTAAAAGTCAAACCTGGTGAGCTTCAACCCAGGTCCAAATAGGAAAAAAGAGACAGAAAAGAGAAGGGGACTCTCCTTCTAAACAATAACATTTCCCTTCTCAGCACTATCCTAGTAGGCACTACTCTATTCAGGAAAGTAAAGTAAGGTTAAATTTGTATTTATTTCAACTAATTCTTTTGTATTTTTATATGTATTTTAGTATTAAGCAGTGTTTAAATTACATATTTTAGTATTAAGCAGTGTTTAAATTATTTTATACAACCCCATCAATGTATAATATGCCAATAACAATAGTATTTTTTTCCATGGGAATGGATTAATCGTTTTCCCTATAGTATTTCTTATGTGAAAATTCATTTCGTATAAATCCTGTTTGGTATAAGTCCAAGGTCCTGGAATGGATTAAGGACATATACCGAGGTATCACTGTATTCACTGATTGGCAAAATGTCTTCAAAATAAAGACACTCAGGTGTTGCATATGTTTAATTTATCAAAGTAAAGGTACAGAGAATATAAATTATGTTAATAACTATAACCACACTTACTTTGGCCTTAAAAAATATACAGTACAGTATATCATTATTTTCTTTATGCTTGCATTTAGTTCATGGTTAGCCTAAAATTAAGTTAAGCTGGGTGGTTAAATTAGGCAGTGCTATTTCATCCATAAATTGACATCATTTAAAAAATCCATAGTGACTAGTAACACTATTCGGTTGCTGATGCATTTGATTGAAAAAATTTTGCCTCGCTTCCCGATACAAAACCCAGTATGCGATACGATTCGTACGAGACGTGTCCACTTGTGGCCTGAACTCCCCCGTGTGTACCAGTGTTTACAACCTAGCCAGTGTGCGCGCATCTAAGGATACATTCGGTACATTCCATATTATCACTGTTTTTGGTGCTTGTTTCTGCAAAATAAGTCACCATGGGCCCCAAGAAAGCTCCTAGTGCCAACCCTTCGAGACCAAGGGTGCTAATGACTGTTGAAATGAAGAAAGAGATAATTGCAAAGTACGAAAGTCGAGTGTGTGTGTCGGAACTGGTCAGGTTGTATAGTAAACCCCAATCAACCATCTCTACTATAGTGAGCAGGAAAATGGCAATCAAGGAAGCTGTTCTTGCAAAAGGTGCAACTGTGATTACGAAACAGCGACCACAAGTGTTAGAAAATGTTGAGACTGTTATTGGTGTGGATAAATGAAAAACAGATAGCAGGAGATAGCATCTCTCAGGCGATCATTTGTGAAAAGGGTGATGAAAATCACCCTCACACAGCTATTGCAAGCCATGCTGGTGACTATTACACTGACAATGTTGTGAAACATTTTAGGAAAGTCATAAAGGAATGAGAGGTACAGGCCTCTATGGACAGATATGTTGTGCGACAGAAGTCCAGTGACTCTCAAGCTGGTCCTAGTGGCATTAAAAGAAGAAGGGAAGTAACCCCAGAAAAGGACTTGCTACCTCAAGTCCTAATGGAAGGGGATTCCCCTTCTAAACACTAAGACCATCCACACTCTCCCCTCCTCCCATCCCATCAATCATCACCAGATCTTCAATAAAGGTAAGTGTCATGTAACTGCATGTCTTCTTCAGTTTGTGTGTATTAAAATTAATATTTCATGTGGTAAAAAATTTTTTTTTTCATACTTTTGGGTGTCTTCCACGGATTAATTTGATTTCCATTATTTCTTATGGGGAAAATTGATTCGCTTTCCGATAATTTTGGTTTACAATGAGCTCTCAGGAACGGATTAATATCGTGAACCGGGGGTCCACTGTATTTTTCCATCTTCTGACTAAATTATGAATGAAATAATCTTGATATCAAAATAATAAATGTATTATTAATTTTTTAAATAAGAGCTGCAATTAAAATAATTTTATTCACTGTGGAAGGAAATCCATGTGTGAAATTTAAGAGATATCAGTTATAATGAGTACGTTCACAGGCCTATAAATATACATTTTCAGCTCAAAATAAAGCAGTACATGTCCAATAAGGCCATTAACTCACCCATTTACAGTGACTTAACCTAGATTAGCAAATATGTACTGTCTGTCTAGCAGAAAGCAAATAAGTGTTTGAATAGTTTATTTGTGTTTGATTTTGATGAGCACAATCTGGGCTGATGAATTTAAATCCTTTAAGGATTACTTGTAAAATCACAAAAAAAAAAAAAAAAAAAAAATGCTAGCTCTGTTTTTCTGAGGGACTGTAGGAATAGTTATCATTATGTCACTTGCTTTTGAAGAAAATGTATACGTACATGTATATATACATATATACATGCATGAGCATGTTCGATAGGAGTGAATGGAGACGAATGGTATTTGGGACCTGACGATCTGTTGGAGTGTGAGCAGGGTAATATATAGTGAAGGGATTCAGGGAAACCGGTTATTTTTATATAGTCGAACTTGAGTCCTGGAAATGGGAAGTACAATGCCTGCAATCTAAAGGAGGGGTTTCGGGATATTGGCAGTTTGGAGGGATATGTTGTGTATCTTTATATGTGTATGCTTCTAAACTGTTGTATTCTGAGCACCTCTGCAAAAACAGTGATTATGTGTGAGTGTGGTGAAAGTGTTGAATGATGATGAAAGTATTTTCTTTTTGGGGATTTTCTTTCTTTTTTGGGTCACCCTGCCTCGGTGGGAGACGGCCGACTTGTTGAAAAAGAAAATGTATAAACAAAACGTAATTATCTAAGTTAGAGTACAAATTTTTTTTATGAACCAAGATTAGTTGTGTAAATTGGAAATGGAAATACAAGGACCCCAATGGAAATACAAGGACCCCAATGGAAATAAGTGACACTTTGTGACTTTTTTTTAGGTTATCCTAGGTAATTTATACAAGGTATGATAATTGTACTTATGCGTACCTGTACGTAAATAAACTTACACGTCCAGGTGGTGAGTCTGAGGTATTCTGGATGACAGTTGATAATAAGTCTTGTAAAACAGCTGAGAGTTGCACAACGTCTGTGTCTGCAACAACCATACATGTGTGGCATCAAATATGATTAAATCTCGGTCCACAAGCGCTGTTATCCATCAGGGTTTTGTGCTCACCAGGAATATAAAAAATGGTTGTGTACACTGCAAGACTTACCTAAATGAAGAAGTAGCGTGTACTACTTCTTGTTGTTGTTGTTATGACACCTGACAGTGTACTACACTGACAGTCACGTGACACCTGTTATCTTCTCCAGTGTTACCACAACCTCCACTCTTGTAACGTCTACTACTGCAGTGTTACCACAACCTCCACTCTTGTAACTTCTACTACTGCAGTGTTACCACACATCCTCCACTCCTGTAGCTTCTACTACTGCAGTGTTACCACACATCTTCCACTACTGTAGCTTCTACTACTGCAGTGTTACCACACATCCTCCACTCCTGTAGCTTCTACTACTGCAGTGTTACCACACATCTTCCACTACTGTAGCTTCTACTACTGCAGTGTTACCACACATCCTCCACTCCTGTAGCTTCTACTACTGCAGTGTTACCACACATCCTCCACTACTGTAGCTTCTACTACTGCAGTGTTACCACACATCTTCCACTACTGTAGCTTCTACTACTGCAGTGTTACCACACATCCTCCACTCCTGTAGCTTCTACTACTGCAGTGTTACCACACATCCTCCACTACTGTAGCTTCTACTACTGCAGTGTTACCACACATCTTCCACTACTGTAGCTTCTACTACTGCAGTGTTACCACACATCTTCCACTACTGTAGCTTCTACTACTGCAGTGTTACCACACATCCTCCACTCCTGTAGCTTCTACTACTGCAGTGTTACCACACATCTTCCACTACTGTAGCTTCTACTACTGCAGTGTTACCACACATCCTCCACTCCTGTAGCTTCCACTACTGCAGTGTTACCACAACCTCCACTCTTGTAACTTCTACTACTGCAGTGTTACCACACATCCTCCACTCCTGTAGCTTCTACTACTGCAGTGTTACCACACATCTTCCACTCCTGTAGCTTCTACTACTGCAGTGTTACCACATCCTCCACTCCTGTAGCTTCTACTACTGCAGTGTTACCACACATCCTCCACTCCTGTAGCTTCTACTACTGCAGTGTTACCACACATCCTCCACTCCTGTAGCTTCTACTACTGCAGTGTTACCACACATCCTCCACTCCTGTAGCTTCTACTACTGCAGTGTTACCACACATCTTCCACTCTTGTTGCTTCTACTATAGCAGTGTTACCACACAGTTGCGTAGATTATTATACATGTGCAGAGAACCTAGGGTAACCTAAAAAAAGTCAGACAAAGTGATTAATTTCCATTGGGGTCCTTTTAGTTGTTAGTTTAATACCTTTATTATGTATCCCACACCCATCCTGTGGGCGGTAGTCAAAAGATTACAAAGGTACATAATGGGTCCAGGGACTGGACCCCAAAGTTATGATAGCTGAACTAGTTACAAAGGTAATGAACTCCAGGTAGATCTGGTCACAATCATGACAAGTTACAAAGGTGATGAATCAGCCTCACTCCTATACATGGTTACAGTCTTTTTAATACCTTATTATTATATTATACAGGATATAATATCTTATTATACTGCTATTATGAAAGGTTGGATGACATTTAGTTGTGCATGTAGAAATCCCAAAGTTATGTTGAACATTTCAGGCATTACTGGCGAAACGTTTCCAAAATTTAGATACCCAAATGCTGCACAAGTGTCTTATTGATCAACTTGTCTCTTATCTAAACCACTTATTTAAGGCACAAGCTTTGCTGACCCTTAAAACCAACAGTAACATCAAACCTCTAGGTAAGTAAGATTATTTAGGTACAGGTACACGTAAATACAGTTACACAAATTATCATACAAATTAACATATGTGTAAATTACCTAGGATAACCCAAAAAAAAGGTCACAGTGACTTGTTTGCACTGTGGTCCTTGAACTAGACCTGGATGTCAGCGTCAACCTTCAAGTGTGGACGTCCCGCTCGAACCTGAACATCCTTTACGGGTGGTTCCTTAAGAGATTTCGTTCGGATTTTTAACCCTAGAAGGTTAGCCACGTAGGATAACCCAAGAAAGGCAGTGCGTCATCGAGGGATTGTCTGTCTTATTTCCACTGGGGTCCTCAGTCTTGTCCCCCATTACAGTCGACTAACCTCTGGCTGTCTTCACCACTCCAGTCGACTAATATCTGGCTGTCTTCACCACTCCAGTCGACTAACCTCTGGCTGTCTTCACCACTCCAGTCGACTAATCTCTGGCTGTCTTCACCACTCCAGTCGACTAACCTCTGGCTGTTTTCACCACTCCAGTCGACTAACCCCTGGCTGTCTTCACCACTCCAGTCAACTAACCTCTGGCTGTCTTCACCACTCCAGTCGACTAACCCCTGACTGTCTTCACCACTCCAGTCGACTAACCCCTGGCTGTCTTCACCACTCCAGTCGACTAACCCCTGGCTTTCTTCACCACTCCAGTCGACTAACCCCTGGCTGTCTTCACCACTCCAGTCGACTAACCCCTGGCTGTCTTCACCACTCCAGTCGACTAACCTCTGGCTGTGTTCACCACTCCAGTCGACTAACCTCTGGCTGTCTTCACCACTCCAGTCGACTAACCTCTGGCTGTCTTCACCACTCCAGTCGACTAACCTCTGGCTGTCTTCACCACTCCAGTCGACTAACTCTGCTGTCTTCCCACTCAGTCGACTAACCTCTGGCTGTCTTCACCACTCCAGTCGACTAACCTCTGGCTGTCTTCACCACTCCAGTCGACTAACCTCTGGCTGTCTTCACCACTCCAGTCGACTAACCCCTGGCTGTCTTCACCACTCCAGTCGACTAACCTCTGGCTGTCTTCACCACTCCAGTCGACTAACCTCTGGCTGTAATAATGTTGGTAGAATTACCGACAATATGTAAAGTAAAAGGACTTAAGTGCAACTAATATGACATTTTATTGTGGCAACGTTTCGCTCTCCAGGAGCTTTATCAAGCCGTTGCAAACAGAACATGGACATACAGGGTATATATAGGCTCTGAGTCTATATATACCCTCAAAGCTTGACACAGCTCCTGTGTCAAGGCTTGACACAGTTCCTGTGTCAAGGCTTGACACAGCTCCTGTGTCAAGGCTTGACACACCTCCTGTGTCAAAGCTTGACACCTCCTGTGTCAAGGCTTGACACACCTCCTGTGTCAAGGCTTGACACACCTGTGTCAAGGCTTGACACACCTCCTGACACATTAGTCGCACTTGTGCCCTTTTACCCACATATAATAAGCAGTCAGTGACCCTTACAAACCCAACAAGACGTAGTAGTGGTAGTTTACTCTGAGTATCCTGAAGAAGCACACAGTAAACTAGAAACTGTAAGATTCACCAGTATACAATGCCTCCAAAACCACAGGTAACAGCATTTTCAATGTAAATGTCTGGATGAAGCCTTCTGAACACAGTATTGTATATATAATGACTTTTGACACAGTTGATATCAGCTACAAGAACTATACTACAAACATTGTGAGAATCTCCTTATTACAATGTGAAACTACATTATCATCACGCCAGAGCACTTAAAAAATACACTCATAACATCAATGCCATATTAAAGAAGATTAAAAGGTACAATATCGTTGTTGGAACAGTTCATGTATAACAGATGGAGAGGAAACTTTAAGTAAGTTTATTCAGGTACATGTGGACATAAATGAAGCTACACAAATTATCATACATACTAATATATGTGTAAATTACCTAGGATAACCCAAAAAAGTCAAAGTGACTTGTTTCCATTGAGGCCCTTTAGAGTATGCTGAAGTCCTTACTTAATAATAATAATAATAATCTTTATTTCTATAATTACATGATAAAACTTATTCAGACTATAGCTGACATCAGTGACATAGTATATAGACAGTCCCTGGTTATGCAGAACATTTCTCACAACCTACGTTAATTTTGTCCTCCAGGATGTGACCCACACCAGTCGGCTAACACCCAGATACCTATTTACTGCTAGATGAACAGGGGCAGTAGGTGTAAGGAGACATGCCCAGTGTTTCCAGGTCATTGCTGACCTGAGGATGGTCTAAGATGAACTGAAATGTCATCTAAAGTTTTCCTTCAAAGTGTGAGTTATTTGTAGAGTGCAGTGATGGTATTTCTTGATTCCATCTTTTACATTTCAGTAATTTAATGTTTATCCTCAGCGTATTTTGGCGATAAAATATCAGTTAGGATGTTCATTATTAATTTGGTTCTGCCATGGAGATAGTTATAGTATATATATATATTGGGCAGTGAAGAAAAAATAAGTTAATTTTATTGGCAGAAAGCTTTGTTTATGTTTGCTGTGATTGACTCAAGACATTGACTTAAATACTAACAGTTAAATGGCCAATGCTATATTCAAGCCAAAATAATGATATTTTTGCTATTATCTCCCAAAATAACAATTTGCCCAAAAAAAACTCACTTATTCTGTGTTGTAGACAAGTTGTATTTTAAAATATACAATAATGCCCAAGTTCCATCTAGGTCCAACATTCATTAATAGCCCATAACTCTATCAAAGACCTGATTAAAATGCTAACTAAATGTAACAAACATACTTGGTTATGCAGCTACTCACACTGTATTAAAAGTCAAATTAGAAAGGTTTGGAGTAATGTATTGCACCCTACAAATATACATGTAATACTGTCAGCATAGTTGCTGATCCCCTGTATGTGTAGTGTAGCTTATCTGAGTATCATAGTTAGTACCATCCATATGTATTATATAGACGACCCCTTGCTAGACTTAGCGGCTAGCATGTGACGTCACGTGACCGAGCTGTCAGCATAGTTGCTGAGTATCATAGTACCATCTATATGTATTATATAGATGACCCCTTGCTAGACTTAGCGGCTAGCATGTGACGGCATGTGATGCGACATGTGAGCGTCAGATGCTCTGCCTCTCTCTCAGTTCACAGATAGACCTACAGGCGTCTACAAGCAGGCTGGGTCCTTCCCCTGACAACTCTGCTAATATAAGTGTATACAACCCAACAAGTGTGTTTATCTCCAACCATCATATCTCCATGGAACCCTCCCAACAATACAGCCTCTCCTCTCTTAGCAATGTACTCATTTACTGACGACTCGGACTTACGACGGGCTCTCTGACCAGTATGCGTATCTAAATAATGTATATTAGAGCTGATTTCCTCTATTCTGTTTATTACATTATACAGTATAAACATTTAAAAATATACTAAAAATGTTATAAATGGTGCAAAGGTGACATTAAAACAATATCAAAGATGGTTAACACAAACCCACTACCATTATAGTATGCTCCTCACTTAGCAACAAATTCATTTACCAACATGGTCTTAGGAACAGAACTCCAACATTAAGTGAGGAGAGACTGTATTCAATAATCATGCAGTGCACTTCTTGTAATAAAGGATGTGATTTTGAATGTGATGGTTGAGAGATTTTAAAGAAATGCTAAAACATTATCTCCTCAGAGAGACGATTACTGATAACCCTGAGGGAAGCACATAATAACAAATATGGGCTTAGTACTGAGTAACCCACACAGGTTTACTGTGTTTCTTGACTATTAATTCTCTAAGTGAGGGGTAACTGGGTAATGCTACTCATAATATTTCAAAATATGTATATTACTGTATAAATACATTGTGAGATTTTTATTTTTCCAAATTAAGATGACATAAGATTTGTTACAGTAACTATTGCAGTACAGCTATTGTATTCTGTCTTATACAGGTGTCATCTACTGGTATGTTTTATTATTTTTCAGGATGTGATTATTATTGTTATTACTCAGAGGTATTATTATATGTACTTTGTTTTAATTATATATCATTATATTATTTTTATCATCATTATTATTGTTATAATGTACATATTATTGTTGTTATAATGTACATATTATTATTAGTGTTATAATGTACACATCAGTACATATATTAATATTATTATTATTAATATTACTGCTATTGTTTATCACTCAATTCACTGGTACAGTATTATTTCCATAACAAGATGCTGACTATATTATGCACTTTAGGTACATATAAATTTCAAAACATGTACTGTATGATTTATCTTGCACTTGTTCATGAATATTGTTACAGTAATACCTGGAGTACACCTGGAGAGGGTTTCAGGGGTCAATGCCCCCACAGCCTGGTCACAGACCAGGCTGTAGTACAGTATTACCAGATATTCTTGCTTTTTATTATTATTATTATTATTATTATTATTAATATCATGTCATTACAATTTCGTGAGTCATTATTATTATTATTATTCTTGTATCTTATAGTTCGTTTGAAAGTAGTACAGTGGTACCCTGAGTTTCGTACAGCTCCCAACTTGAGCAATTATGTAAGTGTATTTTTGGAGGGTCTGAAACGGGCTAATCTAATTTACACTATTCCTCGTGGGAACAAATTCGTTTGGTAATGGCAATTGAACAGCCTTCTGGAACAAATTATGGCCGAAACTCGGGTTACCACTAAGGGCAAGCAGATTGCAAACTACAATAGACTCATCAAAAGTAACTACTATATTTTTTTTGCCATATAAGGGACATTAGCATTTAAGGCACACCCCAGTTTTGGCAGACATATTCTGGGACAAATAAAAATATGCATACCTGCTTCAAAATGATAGTGAGGTAGTAGCTGCCTGCTTATGCACACAGCTTAGCTGAGAGAGATGGAGCCTTGCACAGCCTATCATCTGCCGCACTGCCTCAAGTCATGAAACAAACATTACTTGTTGTTTATAGATGGCTAATTTACAGTTATTTACAAGTGTTGAAACTGGTTTGCTTATTAAAAACCAGTAATACAGTATGTAACTTACAATTTATATTAGTTACTAATCGCTCTAAAGTAATCTGAGAAACAGTTTTGTAGGGGAAGGTGGGGGTGTATTTGGAGTGTCCTTTAATGGTCCTGCTGAACTGAAATCACCATTACCAGTAACCCAAAGCCTACCCTTCTAAGGTGCATGGTGATTTTATGAGATTTCTCTTTCACAGGGGAAAAGCAGCATGCCTTATATGCCTGAAAATACAGTACATATGACAGGTTATATATTATCCTACATCCCCCCTATTTTATCTTTAATTAATATTTTTTTTATTGTAGGCAAAAAAAGGATCACCTCCCAAGGCACAGGTAGTTAAAGATGCACCTGAAGAGGACAGCAAAGATGTTGCGTTGGAGAGATTTAGTTTAGAGTTACGCTGGTGTATACAGCAACTTGAACTTTCTATGGAGAAAAAGAAAGGAAAATCAAAACAAGGTACAGTATTTAGCTTTAATTATATAATTTTTATGCAATGAGTTTTTCTCTGCCTTGCAGTACAGTTTCTGTGCAACGAACATAACAGCTGATTCTTACATAGCCATACAACAAAATTTCTGTTTTCATTAATACAATAAAGCTTAGATTTTAACAGACAATTAGGGAAAGATAATGTCTGATAATGCCAACTGTCTAATTCTGGTGTTAAAAAGCACTACTGATATCACAGTACCTCCTGTGCCAGATAAGTATTATCAGAGAGAAAGAAATTAATGTATATTTCTTGCAGATTCCATCATACATTGACTTATTTCTTCATGATAAAGTTGATAAATTAGCCAAAGAAAGAACAGTCCTAAAAGAAAAAAGTGGAAAATGTCTTTAGTATGTTTGTGTCAAGCATTAGGGATAATATTAGGAAAGAGGTAAATTATGAATCTAAACTTCATAGGAATACAGTTAGAAGCATGACTAGATATATAATGTACTTTGATAACATCAGTCAGATGACTGATGTAGTAGCCAAGCTTAGGCATGGTTACAGGTACAATATTTCCTGGAATTTAGAATTTAAATAGAAGTTATACTGTATATTAGTGTCATCAAAAGTCTTATTACTGTTTAATTTTATGTTAATCTCTGTTTATTATGTTAAATGTTAAACAAAACTTTAACATTAATATTCTCTCCCCAGCTGATGATATGGTAAAAGCACACAAGACTCTGACCAACAGTAAAGCACCACTCATAAAGAAGAGGCAGATAATGAATGCTTTATTTGGGGATTACAGGAAGAAAATGGCCGAGGAGGAAAAGAAGTTTAGAATACGTAATTATCATATTCATTTTTGATGTACTGTAATTATTTATAACCTAATATGACAGCTTAGGATCAAGCTAAAGATAGGGTTTTTCATTCATAAAGAAAAATATATTGATGACTTAATATATTAAAAATTATTAAACTCCTCTCTCCTTTACAGAACCACCAAAAATGAAAAGCAAGTGTGTTCTTCCAAGGGACTCTGTATTCTTTAAGAAATCTCATGAACAACTACATCACAAAACAGAAGACAAAGAATCAAGTACCACAGAAGCCAGCTCTGTAAATGACTCTACTGATGATACTCACAGTACTGAAGCACAAGAAAGCTGTGCTCAGGACTATGGTGAAGATAAAACAAATAATGATAAGTACAATGTGATGTTGACTGACTGTAAACCAACTGAAAATACTTTCAAATTTAATTTTTCAGTGCCTTCTTAGACATAAATTTATTTAAATCAGATCTCTTTTATTTTCCTCTAGTCACTTGGAGCACAATATCATACAGCTTTTATTCTTCCAATGCAGGCAACAAGGCAAGAAAGAACTGATCACAAAATTGGATAAGATAAATCTATACTATACGAAAGGCAAAAACTTCATGCTCACCAAACTGCAGTACTGTATAGGAATGCTAATAGTATATATCCCAGAGATAATGCTATGGAACAGTCTACCCATCAAAAATGATGAAGCCAAAACTGTATGTATTGTACTTTTTATTACATTCATGGAGGGAGGACTAAATCTGTAGGGGTTATAGAGCACTTGGAAGAAATGGTTGGCAGTCAGGTACAATACAGAGAAGGGGAAGATAGGTTTCATTCCTTGGATCAAGAGTCCCTAATCAACATCAGTGTATGTTTTGCACTATAATTCAAAATTTATTTGTAAAAACTTGTACAAAATGGGGAGGACCCCACAATAGGAGGAGTGGGCTGGACTAAACCTATTTGTCTTGAGAAGATGGGCAGAAATTGGTGACATTATTTACACATGATGCTTTGGTTTTTCCAGACAAGATGATACAGGCTCCTCCAAGGGAAAAGTGGTGCTTTAACTTGGTGAATGGATCTTCATCCAAGAAATTTGAGCTATTTCTCTTAGATCAAACCCACTTACCCCCAGCCTTCTCATTCCCTACGTGCCATAGGACCCTAAAAGGTTTAACATTTCCCAATGAGTAGAATATTTGTACATGTGCATCATGCTTTAGATATCACACTGAATGTATCAGAATGATATCACACTGATATCATTCTGATACATGAACATGAATGTTGCAGCAAGGAGAAGGCTGGAGGCAGTGGAGATGTCATGTCTGAGGGCAATGTGTGGTGTGAATATAATGCAGGGAATTTGTAGTTTGGAAGTTAGGAAGAGGTGCGGGATTACCAAAACTGTTGTCCAGAGGGCTGAGGAAGGGTTGTTGAGGTGGTTCGGACATGTAGAGAGAATGGAGCGAAACAGAGTGACTTCAAGAGTGTATCAGTCTGTAGTGGAAGGAAGGCGGGGTAGGGGTCGGCCTAGGAAAGGTTGGAGGGAGGGGGTAAAGGGGGTTTTGTGTGCGAGGGGCTTGGACTTCCAGCAAGCATGCGTGAGCGTGTTTGATAGGAGTGAATGGAGACAAATGGTTTTTAATACTTGACGTGCTGTTGGAGTGTGAGCAAAGTAACATTTATGAAGGGGTTCAGGAAACCGGCAGGCCGGACTTGAGTCCTGGAGATGGGAAGTACAGTGCCTGCACTCTGAAGGAGGGGTGTTAATGTTGCAGTTTAAAAACTGTAGTGTAAAGCACCCTTCTGGCAAGACAGTGATGGAGTGAATGATGGTGAAAGTTTTTCTTTTTCGGGCCACCCTGCCTTGGTGGGAATCGGCCAGTGTGATAATAAAATAATAAAACATGAACATCACGTGGTGTGTTGTAGTAAGAGAATTACCCATGCCCATTAAATAGGCCTGTGTACATTCTTCTCACACAAATGATGTCTACTGAATGAAAGTATACCTAAAAGATTTTTATTGTATTTTTGCTGTTGAAATCATTTTTACTAGAACTTGTTGTGCAAGCACTGAAATTCAGCACCCCTTCAAGGGAGGTGTCTTGATGTCATTGAAGGGCTCTTGATCCAAGAAATTGGAGATACTCTCCCTTTCCTTGAATCGAATCTAATTGCCTTCCATATCCCAAGGAATGGCCCATGAGGCCATACAATTCGATACAGGTGGATGATCCAGCTACACTAGTGACTCCAACCTTTGGGATATTAAAGAATACAAATCTATACACCTTTGGTGGAGCAGTTCACAACTAATGAATAAATTGGATATGCTGTTAGATGATGATTTGTCCCACTTCTCAGCTATGAATGCATATCACTCTTGAGAAGTCCTAATAGTTCTTATCTTTGCAACTGACATATGTCAAATTGCAAATTCTCTGCCATTCTCCTGTTAGTTCTGAGTACTGTACAACTGTGCAGTACTAATACAGTCTGCATGATCAGAACTGTGCAAACTCCAAAAGATGTTTTGTTAGAAGCAATGAAGTTAGTAATATCAAGGGAAGCCTTGACACAACTTAGTGAACCCAAATAGTCGTAAAAGTTGTCCATGGAACAACAGAGACAGCTGGTGTAGGATTGTACATGTGTATCTACTCTGACACCTATTTACCATTTAGTTTTAATCATTAGAATGGTGCTGTTAATCATAGGGAAGCAGACAAGCTGTGGCAGTTATTTAGTTGATGTTCTGAAAACAATGCTCACTCTGAGGTCCTCTTTCAGGGAGGTTTGCAGTCTTTGTCCCCCCATGTCTGTACTGTTTTCAGTTGTCTTTGCCTTTCTTTGCACTTGCTGGGGTTAAATTCAAATTGCCACTTTTCTGATCAGCTTGTCTAGATCAGTGTGTAGTATTTTCTGGTCTGCTCCTGCCCATTTTCTTATTAGTTTCATATCTGCAAATAGTCCCTATTTCAATTTCTTCTGTCATAACGTTTATGTACACAGTAACAGTACTGTTCCTAGTACTGACTTGTGGCATCCCACTCATTATACTTGCCCATTCTGACACCTCCCAGACAATAACTTATTGTTTCCTACCTGTTAAGTATTCCTTGATACAGTGTAGTACTTTCCCTTTTATTTTTGCCTGGTCCTCCAGATTTTGTCCAAATTGTTTATCTCTTGTGAGGTACTGTATTGAGTGCCTTCTTACAGTCCAGAAATGTGCAATCCACCCATCTGTCTCCTGTTATCTTATCCTAGACTTCTAGCAGATTTATGAGACCTGAGTTATCATCTCTTAAAACCATACTGGCATTTTTTTATGAACCTTCTCCAGGTGCTCAACTATTCTTCAGATTATCTTCATCATAACCTTACATAATATGCATGTCAGTGATACTGGCCTGTAGTTTAATGCTACCTGTCTGTCCCATTCCTTAAATATAAGGATTACATTTGTTGTTTTCACCTCTGGCAGATTCCCTGTTTCACCTAACTTGTTCAAAATTGCAGTTAGTACTCCATGTTGTTCTGCTCCTTCTCTCAGGACCCATTGAGAAATATTGTTGATCACATTGCCTTCAAGATATCTAACTTACTCGGTAGTTTCTTCACCACTTCTCCCATTTTGTGTATTGTGTCCAGTACTCGTTGATGCACTCTTCTTCCTTGGCTCTCTAGTAATGTTTCTGTTTCCACTGAGATTCCTCTAAGTCGTTTGTCAATTCCACATAGACTTTCTGGTCATTTCTATTTCCTTCCTTCTTCAGCCATATTACGTGGTCCTTCAGTGTTGTCTATTTTGATGTGGCTGTATAACAACTTTTGCTCAGATTTGGAGTTTGATGCTGTCATTCTCAGTTATCATCCAGCCTTTCTTCTTACCTATGGGTATTTGGATATGTATCTTCTGATTGCTTCCCTATTCTCCTGTTTTCTTTTCTTTCTATATTTCTTCCTCTCTTGTTGCATTTTTAGCTTTTGACTCTCTGAACCTTTAGGTAAACTATGGGCATACTTTTTCTTGCCTGTATTTAGCAACTAAGTTTATTTAGGCACAGGTACGCATAAGTACAATTCTTCTTTCAACAAACCGGCCATATCCCACCGAGGGAGGGTGGCCCAAAAAGAAAAACAAAAGTTTCTCTTTTTTAAATTCAGTAATTTATACAGAAGGGGTTACTAGCCCCTTGCTCCCGGCATTTTAGTCGCCTCTTACAACACGCATGGCTTACGGAGGAAGAATTCTGTTCCACTTCCCCATGGAGATAAGAGGAAATAAACAAGAACAAGAACTAGAAAGAAAATAGCAGAAAACCCAGAGGGGTGTGTGTATATATATGCTTGTAAATGTATGTGTAGTGTGACCTAAGTGTAAGTAGAAGTAGCAAGACGTACCTGAAATCTTGCATGTTTATGAGACAGAAAAAAGGATACCAGCAATCCTACCATCATGTAAAACAATTACAGGCTTTTGTTTTACACTCACTTGGCAGGATGGTAGTACCTCCCTGGGTGGTTGCTGTCTACCAACCTACTACCTAGAATAAGTACAATTCTTCTTTTGAACACACCGGCTGTATCCCACCGAGGCGGGGTGGCCCAAAAGGAAAAATGAAAGTTTCTCCTTTTACATTTAGTAATGTATACAGGAGAAGGGGTTACTAGCCCCTTGCTCCCGGCATTTTAGTCGCCTCTTACAACACGCATGGCTTACGGAGGAAGAATTCTGTTCCACTTCCCCATGGAGGTAAGAGGAAATAAACAAGAACAAGAACTAGAACGAAAATAGAAGAAAACCCAAAGGGGTGTGTATATATATGCTTGTACATGTATGTGTAGTGTGACCTAAGTGTAAGTAGAAGTAGCAAGATGTACCTGAAATCTTGTATGTGTATGAGACAGAAAAATGGATACCAGCAATCCTACCATCATGTAAGACAATTACAGGCTTTCGTTTTACACTCGCTTGGCAGGACGGTAGTACCTCCCTGGGAGGTTGCTGTCTACCAACCTACTACCTAGGATAAGTACAATTATCTTGAAGAATTGAGACACTTGTGCAACACATGGGAATCTTTATTGAAGAAACGTTTCGCCACACAGTGGCTTCATCAGTCCAATACAAAGTAGAAATGGGTAAGGAGAGGAGGAGTTCGAGGTAATCAGTCCCTCAACCTCCTCGAACTCCTCCTCTCCTTACCCATTTCTACTTTGTATTGGACTGATGAAGCCACTGTGTGGCGAAACGTTTCTTCAATAAAGATTCCCATGTGTTGCACAAGTGTCTCAATTCTTCAACTTGTCGGTTTTCAAAACCATTCACCACTACAATTATCTTAGTGTAAATTATCTATAATAAATCCCCAAAAAAGTCAGTAACTTGTTTCTGCTTCTGGGTATAAATTTTTCCTCTGTCTCCTGGCACTTTCTAGACAGCCTCCCATTCCCCA